TTAAACAATCACTAAATGAACCGTTGTAAGTCAAGGACTACCCGTAGTCCGTTTTTTATTCAGGACCTTAAAGTAGCATATAGAATACTAGCTCCTGCTATTTTTCCCCATAGCAACAACCCTGTGAGAGACGTTGGGGCTCAGAATAACTTCCCCAAAGACCCCCAGTGCCACAGGAACTAGAAGCTGGATCTTCCCATTCTTCCAATTCCAACTTGTTGACAGTTACACCACCTCAATTCATAGCACTGTACGTTTCAACTAATTCTGAAGAGGCATGGTCAAACATCCTGGCATGAAAACTTAAGGCAAACAAATAAAAAACAAGCAAGACTAACATATATATTAAACCCAAGTATTCTCCCTTGTTCAGCAATTTTATAAGGCTAAAAATCAGAGGCTGGTTCACATATGGTGAATCTCCAGACATATCAAGCAGAAAACTTGGGGGGGGGGGCAGAGGCTGGGAAACCTCCGTTCAGATAGAAGCTGGACAGCCATGTGGCTTAAGTTGGGTTCTGTTCTGAGCAGGGGACAGAGTTCCCCTGCAGCTCTAGAATTCCATGATTCTGTATTTTCAAAATATATCTTGGTTTCCCTTTCAAAGAATAGCATCTTTCTTAAATAAAGTAAGCTGAAAACACAGAACAATTAATTAAAATTAATAAAGGGATATTGAAACTGTGGACAAATTGTTTTATTAAGAAAAACATAAAAGTTACAATAGGGTGAACCAATAACAGAGGTCTTCATAGTGGTTCACTTGGGGTCATGTTAACAATGGGTTCAAGAGAGAGATCCTGAAAGTGAATTTTCTACAGCAAAAAAAAATGACTGGGGGAGGAAAATTACATGCTTTCAAATCAAGGAATAATTCTGCTTAATACGGTCCTAATTATTTTAATATTAATTCCTAGCTTTGCTAACCTGTCTACCAACACATTCTAAATAGAGTGTGAGACTAAGTGAACGTTAGGTTTCATAATTTTCAAACAATGAGAGGGAAACAACTTTGGCTTTGATGCCCAAATAGCCTTAGAGTAGTCACAGTGTATCCATCCCACAACCCTGCTGGCATCTCAAGAAATTGACTGAATACAGAGTAGGCAATACACCCCCGTTCATCGGAACTTCCCCCTCCCCTGCCTTTTGCATATCAGCCTCCCTCCTTAGGCGGCTGAGCGCTGATATCATGCGATCTGGATGTTCCCTCCACCCCACTAAGTAACATGGCTGCCAACGTTTAAAGAAACAGTTCTGCGCACAGTCACTTGAGGGTCACGATTTGATGGACAGCTGATGCATCCCTGCTTTTTGCACCAGCTGTAGTCCTTAGTAGGGTCTGTTGTTCTTGCCCATAGTGAAATTCTCTTCCCAGAGTGGAGTCCCCTCCCCCTCAGAGCTTCCTCAAAACCCTCCAACCACCATAAGCTGCAATGCTGAGTTAAGAGTTTCATCATCACTAACTGCCTACTCCTCCTAGGGATTTTCCCATGGAGCTGCTCCCAGATCTGAGATACAAATCAGTTCCCTACGCCCGGGTGGCAGGCTAATTGCTACTTACTGAGGTCACCTCTGCACAGAAAGAAAGTCAGGTTTGGCTGTGAAGACCTAAAGGGCCAAACTATGTGAAGCATCTCCTTCTGGGCATCTTCCGAAATTAAGAAACTCAAGGTGCTTTTGCACCATCCCTAGACCCAGACGGTAGTTACGCTGCATGGCAGAAAAGTTAGGGCAGCCGCTGAGTGACATCAGGCTGATGTCATCGCTGCTGCCTTAAGGAAGGCTCTGACTCCTCCGCTAATTTCACCAGCAATACAGGGTACGGGGGGGGGAAGGGGGCCAAGGACCGAACAGGCTAACAATCGGTCCCTCGTAAGCCTGGAGGAAAGACCATTTCAGACATTTTTCAGGTTTAGGACAGCTCAGGAGGAAAACTTACACAGAGACATAAGAAACCCCCAAACAGGCAGCCTTCACAACAATTTCTTCAGGAGTGTTTTGTCTTTATATGGAGTCGGGCACGCTCCCTTCGTCCCACCCCCACCCCTTTTTACCCAGGCTTTTGTCTCGGAAGAGAAAAGGGGAAACCGCGGCTCCTCCGCCGCTCCTGGCGCTTGTGCCGGTGCGCCAATTTCCCTTTTGTCCAGCTGCAAAGGGGGGGGGGTCCTGAAAGTGTCGAAACTGACTTTTCAGAGCGGAGGGAGCCCCAGCCAGGAGGCTCTGCGCCTCGGAAGGGCCCGCAACGCGCGGTTTAAAGGTCCCCCCTCCGCTCAGATCAGCCTCCCTGGAAGCAGAGGGGACGGCAGGGAGGAGAAGCCCGCCTGGCGAGGCAGAGAAGGGGCCGCTTACCTTGCGAGCGCCGGTCCTGTTCGGCCCCTTCCGCGCTGCCAGCCAGCCAGGGGCCTCCCGCCGCCGCCGCCGCCGCCGCCTCTGCCCGCGCTCCGCCGCGTCCGCCCCAGCACTGCTCAGCGCCGGCCAGCCTCCGCCGCTACCGCGCAGCCATCTTGCCTCCTTCCCCTGGAAGCGGCGCTGCGGACGCCCTGGTGCGAGCGGGGGCTTCTCTGCTGCCAGACGCCCGAATCATTATCGCCCGGCCGAGCTCCCGCCCGCTTCCCCCTCCCCGAGAAGCCAGCGGGGTGGACGTGACATGCATGCCCAGCCCGCCGCCTTCGCCCGCCCGCCCGATGGAGGGGAGGGGAGGCGACGCCAGCCCAGCCCAGCCCAGCCCAGCCCCGGGCCAGCCGACGCGGAGCGGCAGGGCAGGCCTCCGCAGCCGCCCTCCCGTCCCCTCCGCTCGGAAGGCTCAGCTGCCAGAGGCAGGCCTGGGTCGCCGCCGCCGCCCGCGCCTCCCCTGGCCCGACCCGCCGGAGGCTCCCCCGGCAGAGAGGAGAGCCTCGCCGCGGCTCCATCCGCGAAGGGAGCTGGGATTCCGGGAGAAGAACCCCCCCCCCGCCGAGCCACACGGACCGGGGGGGGGCCCTGAAGCTTCCCCCCCCCCAGGCAGTCCAGGGTTTTTACTGTCTTCCGCAGGGTCAGAAGAAATGCGATGTTGGCCGTGTGAAAGCGTTAATTACTGGTTCTTTTCACTCGGTGGTGGTGGTGGTTTTAATGCACGCTTCAGTCCATCACCCATTAATGCTCCAGGTTCAAATATACACAACATAGATTCCTTCACAGGAGTGTCGGTGATTATTGATGGTGTGAAAACACCAATGGAACCAATAGGTGCAAAGTCATTCTATCTGCTGAAGCTGACCACAGAGAATGCTGCCTGCTTTGTAGGATGCACATAAAAGTGAACAGAAAGACAATCATTTTGTTTTAATCTGTAAATCCGCTCACTAAGAACTTGTCAGCAATGGCTTTTGGCTTAGTTTGATAGATGAACATAGCCAACTGGGATTTATTGTACAAACAATGATTAATAACCCATCGTGGCCAAGTGCCATCTGTGAATCCGCTCTTCGCCCTACAGACCACACTTTGCAGGCAGGAGCTGCAGAACTCATTTGGTTTGTCCAAAAGCACAAAGTGTGTCCCAAACGCAGCCGGAGGGATTTCAAAAGCGGGACAGATGGCTCTGAACTAGGAAGTCATTAGAGGACAGCATATTTCTCATTCCCAGATTAGGTCCCTCAGTCAGGTAGGAGAAAGGGATGGCTGTGTGCCTGCCCATAACTGACCTTTTCCTATTCTGTGGAGATTTACTGACAGCAGAATTACTTCCTAGACTGAAACCAATTGCCCAGACCAATCTTAGCCACTTGGGGGGTCGGCAGATGCCTTATGAACTGTTTGCAGAGCTTATCTGTACATGAATTGGATTGAACACAACCCGGAAGAAATTGTTGCCACAACCTCTAGTGTACGGATGGGAAACTGGTGATGTTCATGCCCTCCTCCTCCCTGAGGGCTGTGTGAATGGAGTGGCACCTGGTGAATAGACTTTTCACTCATATCTATGTGCACACACAGGTACGTAGTCACTAGCAGAAAGAGAAGTGTCTCTAATGTTGCATTTCCAGTATTAAGATACTTGAGGGGAAAGTCATAACTCCTCCTCGTGGTCTCTGTCTGTTGGAACCATGACATTAAACCAAGTCTCTTAAAACTTATATTTTCTTTTGGGGTGCTGGACCCCAACTGCCTACCCATCCTTTGGGAGAATGGTAAAGACTTGGCGAAGATTTGAGGATGGGGGAAAAGAGTGGAACTGTGGCTGGCTGCAATGGAACTCCGGCTGTCGGAGCGCTAGCAGCCGCTCCAGCCGGATACAATATGCATTATCAGGCTCTCCTCAGCTAAAGAGTCAAGAAGAAAAGAATACCAGTTCCCAGGGAACAATCACAGAGTTGTGCTGACCTAGAAATAAAAATGGCACGGGGCATATTCCTTGCTGATGTCGTTAGGAGACATGCATATATAACCTCTTGGTCTATGTTTATACAATATTTTTTAGACAAGAGCTAAGCCGGATGTATGGACACCAATTGTGTTTATATGACATTACAAACCAAAGCATCTGTTAAAATCTGTAGTATCACATCACAAAATCAAAGAACTGAAAGGAGATGCATGACAGGCTCATCAAACAATGCCAACAAACTGCAGTAACCTCTTCTGAAATAAACGATGTTAGAGCTGTTGGGACTGCTGTCATGTGTCCATTGTGACATGCCCCTACACATGTCCACTGTGAGAAGTCCTAAAGAACTTTAAAGGTACCAGAAGACAGTGTCTGTACGCCTTCAAGTCAATGCTGTCGCTTGATGACTGCCTGGACTTGCAGTTTTGTTGGAAAGTTTTTTTTGGAAACATCCCAAAGATGCTTTTATATGAGGCAACTGGACTGGGGTGTGGGCAGCATTCTAATATTTGGGGGGCTGCCGCAAAGAAGAGGGGGTCAATCTATTCTCCAAAGCACCTGAGGGCAGGACAAAAAGCAATGGATGGAAACTCATCAAGGATAGAAATAACCTAGAACTAATGGTTGTTAAGCAAATCACTGCAGTTGTTAAGTGAATCATGCAGTTGTTAAGCACATCTGGCTTCCCCCATTTATTTTGCTTATCAGAAGCCAGCTGGAGAGGTTACAAATGGTGATCATATGACTTCCATGGCCATGCAACATGCTAGCTGCCAAGCACCCAAATTTTAATCATGGGACGGCTGTAGTGGTCATAAATGTGAAAACTGATCACAAGTCACTTCTTGAATGGTCATTAAACAGATGGTTGTAAGTCAAAGACTACCCGGATTAATTTGAAGAAGAAAAATGTACTTTACTACCACCAACGGGGTTGAGGCCTCCACTGCCAGACAGATTCAGTAATAGAGAAACCAGCCTGGGACAGGAGCAGTCCTGAGGGACAGCTCACTCCGCTCCGGGGTTCCCTCAGCCTGACTGGAGAGATTTCTCATTTGCTGTAGAGTCAGGCTTGACATAGTGCTGAGTTACAGCCACAAGGTGGGAGGTGACTTTTGGAATTTCAGACCAGGCAGAAATTAGAGCCCTGTGGCTCCTGTGACGGAGGAGGAGAGGGGAAAAGACAGAGGCAGCATCTTCCGTCACAAGTCAGCTTGTAAAGGCAAGGGCTGACTTGTTCAAAGAGCCATTGCTGCTGCTGCTGCCGCTTCTATGTGGGTGGATTTGGCAATTGACAGCGTAGGCGGTGATCTAAGTGTATTTCTGATGACGACAAAGAGGACGGCATGCTTAGTAAGTGCAGGGTGATGTGTTGGCAAGACATTGAAATCATGTGCTTTTTCTCAGGCTCTATTAAACAAACTGAGCTGTCTTTCCTTCTCTCCAATCTCAAAATGGTTGGAGTGAAATTGGAAGGCGAGCCCACTCTCAGGTGTTGCTTGAGTGACTCATGCTGAAGGAGGCAGCGTAGGCAGGGGCTCTTCTCGGAGCACGTACACCTTCCCCTCTGCTTTTGCTATGCCTGCCAATGTGCGGGAAGGAGGGCCCCTAGCCTGGGCAGCTGCCCCTCCCAGCCCCTGCAGCCCAGAGCTGCAACTATGCGTGAAGCAGACGGTGCTGAGGCACACTTGACAGGTGGGGGGGGGCTGGCAGGGCAGGACTCCCAACAGGTGCCCCCTCCAAATAGGAGGCGTGACGCTGTTGCAAGGCCTCGTGCTTTGACTCTCCTCAGAAGTCAAACAGCATGAGTCAGACCTTCTGATTTGCAGCTGCTTTCCTCCAGCAACACGAACACAACATGCAGAGGCTGGAAAATTAGTCACAGTCTGTCAGGGAGAGCATCCCCCATGGCTGGCCAAGGAGAAGAGACTACCTGGGGTACTTATTCTCCCTGAGAAACAGGAACCCTCATTCAGCCTCGCTTGGATGGAAACTTTTTTCCCTTGGCTCCACATCCATTTTTGTATCCAAAATAGTCGAGAGGATGGGTTGCATGGAAGAGATCGAACTCTGTCAGTGCTTTTCCAACTCTCAAATAAAGTCACGTCTCCATCATTGGGAGATTTTCTTGACCTGCCCCTCAGAAGAGAGCACTGGGGATGGGGTCCCACATCCACAGGTCTCACTGTTTGTATCATGCGAAAGCAGCATCAGACTGCCATTCCACCTTCTGGGGGGAGTGAAACTTTACAATATGTGGGGAAAAGGGACCAAGCTTGCCACAAGCCCACTTGCATTTTCTGTCCCTGTCCCACTTCTATTCTGCTCCTCAGTTGGCTGCTGGGGAGGGGACGAGGAGAGAATTCCTGATGGGACGCCCACTTGCTCATAAGTTTGTATCTCGTAGCTGGAATGGGAGATGAATACGGGGACTTTCAGAAAGGTATCCTTTAATTATTTATTTTCTTGGTTTCGCTGTTGAATTTTACTTTACAAACCAAAAGTATAAATGTAAGAATTATTTTTTCTTATGAACCTATTCAGATTTGCCCGTGTCGGGTTTGTCCTCTTTGTTTTCCATGGCAGAGTCCCATAATCATCCCCTTCAGACATTTTTTTCCTTGGGTTGAGCTCTCCGTTATGGATTTCCTGAGGCTGGGGCAGGAGCAGCCCCCCCCAAAAGAAATCATCTGCAAGATCGGGAGATACTGAAATCAAGCCATTATATGAAGGTCTAATCTGGATCGCTTGTTTCAGCAGAATATTTACTGTAAACACAACTGTGTTTTTGTAACTCATGGATTGTGATGTTATGTGAACTCGGCATCAAAGTAGGAACTCTGACTTTAGGCAGGAATCGCACAAAGTAAAACCTTGGCTTTAATCCCAGGCTGAAGAACCTGAGATCACATCAACAAAGGCGATCAACCACAGTTAGGTAACTATACCAACAATCCAATTGTTGGGTTTGTAATCATATAACAATCAAATATAGTCTAATTGCTCTACAAAATAAATAAATAGATGCACAGCCTGACATCACTTTATTAGAAAACTTTTTTTTTCTTTCACAAAGAAATCTTGTTTGTTTTTTTACAATTCTCTTTTTCTACCATTTGACACTGGTCCGATCTTTACCTGAAACTACTAGGAGAAGCCACAAATGACTTTTGCCTCAAGAAGTCTTGATGGGAGTTTGAGAGGCTCTAAGGATCTGGCACATTTGCCCATGGAAAGAGACAGATGCAGTTAGCTGGCTTACATCATCTTAAGTGTGGAAGATGAACAATTCTTAAATGTAGCTGACTTAAAAACTGCAAAACTTTGGCTGAAGTTGAGAAGTGTGCACGTGAGTGTGTCAGCATGCAGTATAGTGCAATTATCAAGGCAATTGTACAGAGCCTGATTGCTGCCATGAGAGAGCATAGAAGAGCATTTGTTCCACATGCAGAAACTGCTCGTTGAATTAGAAAAGCGAGGAATGCAGATTCCTGAATCTCAGAAGGTGCTGTTGGTACTAGTCTTGATGAAACGTGGGCCATCATTTCAAGGAACAGAGAGAGCAAAACAGCAGACCGACTGTCCACAGATATCGGATTACATCTCAGCAGATAATTACCAAGAAGAACAGGAGAAAAAGAAATGCTTCATTTGTGGGATTGAAACTCACTTTAAGACTGTTTACAAGGAAGAACAGCAAATGAACAAGCTGCTGTTGCAAAAGTTATCTATTGTAATAGTAGAGACAAATGTTAACAGACAGTGGGGCTAGTCAAACAATTGTTAATGATTCTAAGTTCTTTTCCAGATTGGATTCAACTGGAGATGCAATGGCCTTAGCAAATGGCCAGAAGGTAAAAGTCATGGGGAAAGACAGTGTGCTGATTCCATGTCTGGAGGAAAGGTTTAATAATGTATTATGTGTACCTGAAATGGAGCATAATTTACTGTGTCTCTAGTCTTGACAAACAAGGGTTTGAGACCACATCTGTAAATGGGAAATGTCTCATAAAAAGAAATGGGAATGTATGTGCACAGGGCATAAAACAAGATAATCTTTACGTGTTGCAGGCACAAAAGATTCAATGTGCCCAAACATTTGATAATGTGGCACATGATTCATGCATCCATATCTTGCACAGAAAGCTTGGCCATTCCAGCTTCAGGGTGTTGCATAAGATGCCAGAGTTTGCAGAGGGATTAACCTTTAAAGGATATAAAGCAGGGCTTTTCAACCTTTTCACTGACTGTACCACTTTTAGAATATGGCAATATTCAAGTACCACCAGTTGCCTAGTAAGGTATCCAAAACTTGATGGAAAAAAAAAAAAAGGTGGTAAAGCACAGAAGTCCTTGACTTACAAGTTTGCTTAGTGACTGTTCAAAGTTATAATGGCCCTGAAAAAGTGACTTATGACCATTTTTCACATTTATGACCATTGCAGCATCCTCACTGCACCAATTGGCAAAGGAAGAAAGCCAGAATAAGGTTGAAGAAAATTGGGGTCTTGACCTATTAGAGGGGATTTCATAGTATCAATTAGAGGGTTAAAGGGAGATGTTGAGATAAGGGGAATTTTGGTCATTAGGTTTGAAATACTTGGAAATCAGTTGAAAATAAGGATTTTGTTTAGTATTTAAAAATTAGACCTAAAAGGGAAAAGAAAATTGTTATGAATATGTTTAATTTATTGACTAACCCAGGTAATATATATATAATGGTTTTGATTTATTAAAGGGGAATATTGTATTATTAAGTAGATGATTTAATATGGTGGGAAATAGTTAACTTTTAGGAAATAGAACAAGATTATATTCAAATAGATAAAATGTGTATTCTGGATATTATACTTTGTTATGAAGTGAGATAAGGGAAATCTTGGATACCCAAAGTCTGAAAATTATAAATATCAAAGGTTAAATTGGAATATTGATGAGAAACTAAAAATTAGTAAAAATTAACGGGATATGAATTGTTTATGAAGACTGAATGTAATCAAGATATGTATAAGCCAAAAGTTTAATGATAAATGTAATAATGATGTTTTTACTGAGTTGATATAATTAGAACTGTACTAACTTGAATATGGGACAGTAAATGTTAAGGGAAAAAGAGAAGAAATATCTGATGTTGTAACCTGAGATTTGCACTAAAGATTTTGTTATTGAACTATTGACTACCCAATCACCATGTTGCTTTCCAAATACTCAAATGTAAAGTTGGAAAATTAATAAAATATTATTAAAAAAACCCCAAAAAGATAGCTGCCCTATAATGCTTTTCTTTAGGACTTCAGTAATAGCAAAGCAGATTATGTATCCAGTGGGCCCCATGAGCTAGGGAATGGAGGTGTAACGGCCCCATTCCATTCTGGAATTGTCGGGTTTCCAGTAGTGTTACCGATGTTTAATCTGTTACAGGGGTGACAAAAGTAGCTGTCCAGTAGGCTAGGAATATGCTGGGTTATATCTTGAAAGGACCCCCATCCCCATGAGGCAATTCAAGATGGCGTAACTATGATTCAGTTGTCCATCAGCTCCAACAGAAAACCATCATATGCTGAACTGGGTGCAAAAGGCTCCCAGTTTAGGCTGCATCTTTTTCAACTTGTGAACTGTGATCCTCGGCTGGTCTTGAAACTTGGGTCTCTGACCCTTCCTGGCACAGGGGAAAAGACGCAGGGCTCTTGAGGCACCACACTCTTGAGGTACCTCATCACACCATCCAGAGGAGCAGGACTCATGGGGTAGGAATGAAATTAAAGGGCACAAGATGGTCACGAAGCAACTCCATGCCAGATGGGTGCCAAATCTGCAGAAATTCAGCAGCCAGAGGGAGGGAAGAAGCTGACCAGGCAAAGCCGGTCCATGATTGTGGCTTGACTAGTGTGGGCAGGACTCAGCAGGATCGGTAGCTGTGCCAAGTTCAGCTCCACCAAAAACGTTGCCCACCTTTCTTGGAGAGCCCCAGGGAGTCTACGGAATGCACCTGAGGCCCTCTGCTGGGTTGGGACTATCCCCCACCGCCTTCTTGCTAATACTGGGTGGAAGCCAGACCTTTGCCAGGCTTTCTGACCTGCCTGGAGTTTGTATCTGCTTGAAGACAGACCACTCCCGTTGCTTCCTTAGTATTAAGCAAGCAGCTCTTAGTTGTAGAATGCAGAATCCAACTCCCCTTAATTGGAGATAGTTGAAGAGATGGAAGGCAAAGAATCAGAACAAAAGAGTTTTCATAAAAGTTTTCACCTGTGAAAAAAAGAAAGACCCTTTAAAAAGGACCAAAGGAAACCAGAACTGGCAGGTTTGCAAACCCTTGTTGGTTAAAATGAATATATGAAGCAGGGCTTTAATTATGGCTTGTAGTGGGGTTAGTTCTCTTAGCCATAGCTCTGTTCGTATCAAACAGGGAACGGGGGCATTAATGTCCTCTGGACATCCAGGTGGGAAGCAGGAATAGCTTCAAAATGGGGGATTTCCAAAAGCAACACCTCCATTTCTCACCATTTTTTCACCATGTTGGGGATGAAATAAGTGCACTGAATGGAGAGGAGGCTGGTGCTCCCTATACAAGATTGCCACTTCTGACAAGCTGAACTGCAGGGTTATTTTTTTTTTAAATGATTTGCCACATGTCTAGCATGGAGACAGCAAGCGTTAAAGCATATTTAAACAGGTCATCTCACTCTGTTCAAGGTGTCCGACTGCCCACTATTCTGTTTGGTTTAATGAATAACGTGCACTGATAAAAAACAATGAATTAGTCCCCTTTTCATGCTCTACCAATTCTTTCTTATTTTATAGAAGTAACCAACTGGGGAAGTCTTACCTGGCCTACAAGCTTGCTTTGTTCATTTGGATCATTCTCAAAATCCTTTGTGACATCTAGAATCAAGACAGGCACATCTCTTAAAGCTTCAGAATGGATCCTATGGGAATAAAAATATATTCACTTATGAAAATCCCTTTGATTTAACTGATGCCCGTGTAGATTGCTGAGTGTCTGTTCATGTCCTAAGCCAAGTCCTGTTCGCTTGTAATGTGATCACACTGCTGGGAGTAAAATGCAGCTCTTGGCCAAGAACACTGGGCCCAATCTGTGGCTTAGCTAGATATGCAGGCTTCCCTGCACAATCTCTTTCCCCTTGCATCTGGCATAAGCAGGACTTTGGTGACCTTCCAGATCCCACTTCCACACTCTTTTCACACAGTCCCTTCTTTTTCATGTTGCCTTGGTCCTTCTCCTCCAACCTTCCTCCCCTGCCCCATCTGCAATCCTCTCCCATGGCACTATCCCTTCCCCTGCCGCCCCCATGAATATCCTTCCCAGAAAGCAGGCCAGGGTCATGTCAACCATGGCGGGAAACAGCCCCTATAGGGACCCACACAGTAGCCTTCTTCACAAGCCAGTTTTCATGCTGGACATGAAGCTGCTCCAGGTAAGGTAGCTGGAGGTCCTTTTCTTCAGGCCTGGATCGCCAGTGCAGCCTCTCAAAGCAGACCTAGAAAGGAGAAAACAACCTCACTAACCAGCCCAAGATGCCCAGAAGCTCTGGAGACTTTTGCTCAACAAATCACTGGAGGCTTCCTGCCAGGATACTGAGCTCTTTCCCCCGCTGTGTGGGTTCTGGCACAAAGCGACAACCTAGAGCTGCTTCTAAGAAAAGGAACAGGAGAGATCCCTTCTACAAGGCACCCTAACCGGAGTGCTGAGTTTCTCACAAGACCGGCCGTTGCTCCCAAAAGCAGCCATCTACCAGGCCCAATTTGCTAAACACCTAACTGGCGTGTGTGTGTGTGTGTGGGGGGGATGCATTGCTGGTTTCACAGTCCAGCAATTATTCTACCAGATTTTGAGTTAGAGAAGAAATGTGGGAATTGGAGCAAGCTGAGTTTTTTTTTTATGCCTGGCACAGAATATGGGTTGAAGGCAGCTGAAGTAGACGCCAGCTAGGAAGAAGAGCTCAAATAGGAGATACATCATTAGGAAAGAACACTGAAGACTAGTAAAGAGCGCTAATGGGAAAAGAGAGAGCTTGGAACATAACACAAAATAGTTACCAGTTGCCCTTTTGGTTACCTCTGGAGGGGCCCGGAGATAAAGAAAGCCATGGAGGGCAAGTTGGTCCCCAAAGGTTTGCAGGAGGAAGGTGTGCCAATCCTGGTAAATGATCCACTCAATCTCAGTCATGTGGCCAATCTCAAAGAGATTTTTTGCAAAGATGTACCTGAGGAAGAAGAGGAGAAACAAGCCAGTGACACCACCTTGAAGCTAGAAGTAGGCAAGGATTCAGATATCTAACTTTATGCACATTTCCTAGCCTTGTGTTTTTCAGTTGCCTTGTATTACAATCCCCATACTTTGGGCCACAATAAATGGGAATAATGGGAACAAGATCCTCAAATATCTTTAAGAGGCTGGCAGGCTCCTAGGAGAGAAGTGGGAAAAGGTTGGGCATCTCCATCCGGAGGATCATTTTCTTGCACATGAGTTATCTTTCTCCTGAGATCATTTCTGCATCCCCTCCCCCAAAGCTCAGAGGGTATCAGCTTCCATCCCATCATTACAGAACCATTCCAGTGTTCATGTGCTGGCTCCTTCTTGGCCAATTCCAAGAAAGAAGAAATGGTTCAGCGTGAGTAGGTGCTCCTGCACGCAGCTCCATTTATGTGAGCAGTAGGCACTTGTGCATGTGCTTCCCGCCACTTGTGCAAATGGAACTGTGCACGCAAATAAATAAAATAAAAGCAATAATAAAGAGCTGGGTGTTTTATCAGTAAGGTATTATAAATTAAGTTTGTGAGTCCTTATAGAACAGGCTTGTCAAACATGTGTTCCACGGGCCGGATGCGGCCTGCACAGGCCACACCCACCCCGGCCTCGCAGGGGCAAAATAAGTCATGATAGTCACAATAGGCCCGCGATGTGATAGGGTTTGACACCCCTGTTATAGAAGGTGCAGTATAGCAGGACATGAGCTATAGTTTCAATGGCCATAAAGGCTAACCCATATCTTGATTGCAAAAACCACTGGACCAGTAGAGAATTGGTCCAAAATTGTGTCCTCTACCTGTCGCTGTAGACAGACCTCTCGAACACCAGCACCGGTTCCTGCGTCTTTGGGGTCTCAGCAGCCAGGGGTTCCAGCTGTGCCTTCAGCCGACTCAGACACGAGTAGGTCTGGAAGGTGTAGGACCATCGGGAAGGGTCCCGATAGATCATCTGAAGCAGGTTCCCGAAGTCTCGAGGAGGAGGAGGAGGAGAGGCCTGCGGCAAGACACAGAGGAGAAAGAGCTGCCCCTCCTGCTCTGGCAGGAGAGCAACTCGGGCACAGGATGGCACACAACTTCAACAGGGTTTCATTTAAAAAAAAAAGGGGGGGTGTCAATATAAGCATTTTCCACGTCGTCTGGGGGAGGGGAGCCCCATACCGGGCCTTTCTGCACGAGCCCGGCTGCCGTTCGGGCTCCCTATTCAAGGCAGGGCAGAAGCTCTCCGCCTCCCCTGAGCCGCGAGAGGAGCCCGGAGTCCCCATCCTCTCCTTCGCTCTCCCGCCTTCCTGGAGCGGCGCAGGCGGCCGGAGTCCCTTCCCTCCTCCGGGCAGGCTCTGCGCAACCACCCGCGGGCCAAACCGGCTCGACCTCCCGGCGGCGGCTCGACACATGCTCGGCGGAAGACCTGCAAGGGCGCCGGAAGCTCGCCGGGCCGGGCGCAGGCTAAGAGGGGTGGCAGCCGCGGGCGGCATCTCCGGGAGCCGCGTCCAACCTACCTGGGGGGCGGCGGCGGCGGTGGCTCGGACCTCCTGCCACTTGGCTACCGGCTCGGGCTTCAGGCGCCACTCGGGGAAAGCTCTGCGCAGCAACCGCACGAAGGTCGACTTGCCCGCGGCTGTGGAGAGGAGAAGTGGCGTCAGGGCCGCCCAGCCACGAGACAGCCCGCCCCGCCGCCCCGCATCCTCACCGATGTTGCCCTCAACCGAGAGCCTCTTGGCGACCGTCCGCACCGCGCCCGCCATGGCGCCACCGGACGAGGAGAGCCCGCACGTGCACTGACTCCGCTTCCTCCCTACCACGCCGGAGGGTTAGGACGATCATCACTTCCGCCCGGAAGTGCGGCCCTCCGCCCGCTCCTTCCCCCGGCTGCAGCTCTCCGTGCTCCGGGGTTCCGCTTTCCGACGAGGGGCCGTCCCCCTCACGGAACGGATCCCCGGAAGTCTCGCGGGCTGCCCTGCAGGCGGGAAGAGCGAGTCGGCTCCAGGCGGCGCGGAGCCCCGTTCCCTGCCGGGCATCGCCCTGCTTCCTGTAGTGCAGCTCCTCCTGTATTCCCAATAGCCTCATAGTTGGTGACCAAGGATGGGGTAGGCAACCTTGGCTCTTTTAGGAGTCATGGACTTCAACTCCCAGAATTCCTGAGCCAGCATAGCTAACACAAGATTACACCTAATGTACTTGACAATATATCTTCCAGAAAAACAAAATAGGTGAGTCCTTGCTGGGTTACAAAGCTGCGTATAAAAGAAGCCAGGATTAGCAATTGTTTTTAATGAATCCTCCCCCCAAAAAAATAAACAATTAAGAATTCTAAATTACAGATAGTTTATTTTCAATCTGTCATTGATTCACTGTCCCGAACAAGCCATAACTCATGAAAGGTATATTTCAAATTAAATATTTTAGCAAGTGTTTTAAGGATAGACAATTTTGGGAATAGCAGTCTTATCTTATGCAAGGTAAAGAAAGTGTTCAAATAAAAAATACAACTCAAAAGTTCTAAATTCCCAAAGAAGGGATTTATATTCAGCCCCCAGTCTGATTTCAGTAAAAAAAAAAAAAAAAAGGCCTTTCAAAGCTTGTATTTAATGACCATTTGGCCTCTTGTAGTCCTGAGACTTGTTGTTCCGCTGCGTGGAACTTGAGTGCCTTGAAAGCTACACAGGATCCAGAATTTCCCCTGGGGAGCCTTCTGGCTAGAGCAGAAGCCATCAGACAGACCTGGAAGTCAAAAGGCAATTCTCAGCTGTAGCCCTATTTCTCCTGGGCTGGACGTGGCCTCCTGATTAGCAGAGGCTGACCCACTTGCTTCGGGGTTTGGGAGTGCTTTTTTGCTTCAAGTTAAAAACCAAAAAGTAAAAAAGTATATCCAAGAATGAAATGATGGTCTGAGTTCTGATGAATTAGAAATGCTGAATTGAGGCAGCTGGATTCTACAAAGTGACTCTTAAAAATACAATGTTTAAAAAATATGTATTTCTTGAAAACAAAACAGGATATATTATAAAGTTTTCAACTCAATAGGAAGTATTTACAAGTATAATGAATTTAAAACAATCCAAATATTTCACCAAGCCAGTAACAGACTTTTAAAAATTAAGGGCTTGACCAGAACAAATCAAGAGACCATAAATACAGTGTGTTCTATTAAAAATTAATGTGGGCTTTATTGATATATCATCCTACTCCTTTTAATTAAGCAGGCCCAGTTAATGAACTATGTTTAAAGTCTTTCTGTGCTATCAGGAGACTGGTATCATTTTCTAGGGCTGAGAATTCTCAGAAGAAAACGAGGTCATCGTAAGTATTCAGCTATTCAGATGTGCGTAGGAATGTTGAAAGATGAGGTGGGAGTTACATTTATTTGCTACAGCCTGTGGCTCACAATCCCACAAAACTATAGCTTCCAACTGGAACTGCCGGGGCTTGTATCCTGACAATTGCAGGGTACCCAGTCCCTCTCTCTTTTTCTTCAATAGATAAGACCATTTCATGATGTTCCTTTCAGGGCATCAGGAGCTTCCAAATGAAAGTGACCATGCAAAGACATTTCAAAAGTCAATCTCAGCTGGCTGGGTTATTCATTGTCCATTGTTTTCTCTTCTCTTCTCTGGGGAAGTATACAGGAAGTTGCAGCAGATATACAGAGGGAAGACTAGCAGTCTACTGTCCAAATTCATCACTACCTGTTCCTAAAAAGCAAGTAAACAAACAGATATCAGACTGAACATAAAAATGCTTTCAGAAACCCCGCAGAAAGGTTTAGAGAAAACGCTAGAAATTCTGAAGTAATTTTCTAACCTACTCATGTAACTTCAGAGGCAATTTTTAATCAAGCATCCATCAGCTGAATCTGTACAAAGGGAGAAAACCATTATTTCTCTAATTATTTTCTCTAGTTGCATTTTTCTAGACTTTCAAGGATTTTTAACCTTTCTAGCACCATCATATCAAACAGCAACCACTGAAGTGCCCAGTTCATTTCTGTTCATCTCTCCTGCTTCTTATGAGAATCTTACTTTCTTCTCTGACACTATTAGCTAAAATGAACCAAAAGCTTTGCACATACAAACCTGATCTTTTTCGAGGGTTAGTATCTGATACCCTGCGGTTCTGCTACAAATAAGCTTTCCACTGCTATGAAAAGAAGCCAGTCGCAGCCTATGGAGAGAAGAGAAATTACGCTAAGCTCCCTCTGGAATCCAGATGGGCGGTTTCAAAATTTGATAAATAAATGAAATAAAATCAATGGAGAAAGGAGGTGGTTGTTGTTAAGAGAGGGTGAAAGAATTGTTGGATATGACATGGGCAGGAAATAAATTTTGTTTTTTATATATATTTATATATATGTATGCATATGAATATAATTATATTTATAATTTATTTATATTTATAATTTATTCTTTGTTGTTACCTTCCCACTGACGTGGTACCTATTTATCTACTCGCATTTGCATGCTTTTGAACTGCTAGGTAGACAGGAGCTGAGGCAAGAACAGGAGCTCACCACATTGCATGGCACTCAGGTCTCAATCCTGGGCTGTTGGCTTTCATTTGACAAGCTCGGTGTCTTTAACTGCTAAGCCATCCACTCAATGGGGGGATTCAGCCAGTTTGCACCACTTTGGCAGAACCGGTAGCTGATTCTTTGTTACCCAGGCCCTGAATGGACTTTTGGAAGTGGCATCCACACAGAGAACCAGTTGTTCACATATTTGAATCCTACTACTGCATCCATTGGTAAAATGCATGACACATCTCTGTGCTTGGGAAGAAGACTTTTATGGGTAATGGTGACAGGCTGATGTCTGTCATTATCCTTAAGACAAACTTCTGTAAATCTGCAGAGATTTGAATGTTATGAGTCTGGCAAGTACCTTCAGTATTTTTTCCCCCTCTTACCTATTGTTGTTTCACTGATTCCAACGAACAAATGATACTGACCCGCTTCCCTCCAGTGACTGCTGGTGAACTCCAAAGTCTACAAGAAGAGTGACTGTCGATGTGACTCTTTCACCTTCCAGCACTGGAGAACCAGCCAAAAAAGAGAGGGAACCCACCTGAAAGCGATATTTCTCTGGGGTTGCAAACTGACAGAGCCACTGCAGGGTTGATTTAGTGTGTTGCGTTTGAAGATAATGTAACGATTGGTGTATGTGACCAGCAGATCAAAGCCAAAATTAAAGCCTGTCCATCGCCAGCAATACTTGCAAGAAAGAAAAAAAGATAATTGAAGAAATAGTTGTATTCTAAAAGAGCGGCTTTAAATTCTGAACTTAAGTAGCTTGCAGAGGACCTCCACTTGATACCTTGTATATTTTGCATCAACTCAGGAAATTCAAGATTGGCGGTTTAAAAAAGCTACATGAGCATTGTTATCATTTTTATATTTTCCAGTAAGAAAGTATTTAACCTTGTAAAATTAGCTAAGAAAACACTGTTTTGGGGAAACAAACAGCTTACAAAAACTGTAAATAAATTATACATTTTTAAAAGGACATGAAAAAATATTTGTGCTTACATCACCATCTTTGGCAAGTTTTCTGCCACACCGCATACTGTTTGCTTCTAGTTCCTCTTTATTAATCTCTTGAGGCCTTGAACAAAATAACTTTCTATAAAATGCCATTCTATCAACGGAAAGCACAAGAAAAGTATTCTAACTGGTTACACACAGATCTTAACACCTGAATAAATTCACTTAGAGTTTCTCAATACACTAAAACCTTTTTAAATATATAAATTTTATTAAAGTTTTAAAAAGAGGATAAAAATTAACAAAAAACTAATACAGAAGAAAAATACAAAAGTGCAGAGAGAAAGGGTAACAAAAAGAAAGAAGCAACTTCTAATTTCCTTTGCAGCAAAAGGAAGCATAATTAGATATATGTATCTCTTACCCTATACAATACAGAGTAGTATAAAGTTATATCTTACTCTATGATTACCAAAAACGCTCACTTTTTCTATTATCTATTTTTTTCCTGATCATCAATGTCGTAAATGCATTTTTTTCATACAAAAAACAAAACAAAACCCTGTAACTCAGGGGTTTCCAATCCTCAGTCTACAGCCCAGTCCTGAGCTGCAGCCTGTTCAGAACTGGGCTGCGGAAGCGGTGGGCAAGCATGTGTGCACAAAGCTGCATTTGTGAAAGCAGTGCACTCGAAACCATCTCCTCTTGCCCCACACCGCGCTGCTGCTGCGGGGCCACAGAGCTGGAAAGGTTGGGGATCACTGCTGTAACTGTTTCCGGGCTGCCACAAATACAGAGAAAGAGGCATTATACATACCCAATGTCATTGTCTTGTTCTGCTCTAAGCATGGCAAACCACTGCTGTTTGTAAACAGAGAACAGCCAGTCTAAAATTTAGAAAGACCAAAGTGGGCCTTTTATAAACGAGGCAAGAAAGTTAAGCAGCACTTAATATTTTTACAAGGTTTTATGCTGTCCCAATCAAAACTGACTCTGAGCAGGTTATTTACCCCATGTATGCAAAAGTTAAAAAAACAGTCTAAAAATAAATACTGTAGCAACAAATTCAGATCACTTTATTGTGGTCGTTAACCAGCAGACCCTGTAGCAACAAGTTTAGAGAAGGAAGTGAGGGGCAAGAAGAGAAAAGGCTATGACCTCCTTTATTCTTTTTCCACACGGTGGGATATAAGAGAAGTAGAGAAATAGCTTAAACCTAACTTTATGTGCCTGAAACTGGATTCAATGATTCACTAATTTTACTACCAAGGCCATGTCCACAAATTTTTATACGCTATATGTGGGGACTCTTTCAAAGACCCAAAAACTCAATTCTGATTTCACTTTCTCAAGCATGACAGAGAAAGAAAACAAGCTATTCCATTCTTACCTGCAGGGATCAGGCTGTCTCGTTCAACAATTCTTGCTGATGTCAGATCACTGATTATATACTGCAGCCTCAGGTATTTAAACACTGGTATAAATGCATGTCCTTGTTCAGTTTCCAAGAATGAGATGCCTTCCTCACAATCTGAAAAATTAAAGCAGGTTCTTAAGAGTTCAAATATATTTTTACAATTAAGCAAAAAGCAGCACTGCAGTCTGTAAGCAATCCCAACAGAGAAATCAATTCAGATAAGGTTTCACAGAATTATATCCCGATTTGCTTGTAAAAACGGCTCAGAGGGTAAACTAGTGGAAGGTGGATTTTTTTTCCAAAAGATTGTGGTTTACAGGTTTCCCATCCCGCACAAAAGAAATCCATGTTGGGCCAATAGGGAACAACCCATAATGAAGAGATAGCTAAAGATAGTGTATATCCTGCTCCAAAGATTTCCAGCATCCCAACTATTCACAAAGCATTTCATAAAGACCTTTCCTGCGCTTGGAAAACCAGGCATCTGCTTCACTTAAAAGCTGTTTCAATGATCCGTTCCAAGAAGGCACCAGCTGAAGGAACATCCACTACGTAAAATAAAGAAACAGCTGTAAGGTTCACTTGAGGGATACACTAAGTAACTAAAGCTTGAGAAGCATGGTGGCTCACAAGGTGATGATGCTGGACTGACTGTCGGCAAGGCTGCGTTCGAGACCTGGTTGCTGCTGTGGAACAGGGCGAGTCCCCGTCACACCCTCCAGCTCGTGCCGGCCAGCAGTTTGAAAGCGGGCAATTGCAAATAGATAAATGGGTACCACCTCAGTCGGCAACTTAACAGGGACATGAAAGGAGCCCCCAACTGGGTGTCCCCAGGCAACAGTGATGTCATCATTCAAACCTTACAATCACTAAGCACAATCCCAACATGTAGTAGTAACTAAAGCTTTACACAAATACATATGTACACTGTGTTTCTACAAAAAATTGTTTATAGATAGCGACTTGTATTTGGGAATAAAAACATCACAGTGCCACTTTAACTAATTTTTGATGAAGTGATGAAATGAGAGTTTGTTCTTCTGTTAGAATGCAACTAAAGGGATAACTGGCTACATCCTTCTAAGGAAAGCAAGTAAAAAAGAAAACAGAAGAGAAGAGACAGTTTTTATGGAGTAAAAAAGGAAAGAAGATAACCAGAAAAATAGTTATTCTGTATGCACAGAACTTTTTTTATACTTCTTTAAGTATTCTGTGCTATCTTGTAATCCAGTGTTATTCTTAGATCAGTTTTAATGGGTCATTAATAAATTAGTATAAATAATCAAACAAAGACTATGACTACCTATCAAAGATACTAAACCACAGATGTCAAACTCGCCGCATCATGTGACGTGTCACGATGTATCGCAACTTTTTTCACATTGCCGAAGCTGGGGTGGGCATGGCCTCCGTATGATGCAAGTGGCCCGTGGGCCAGCAGTTTGACACTCCTGTACTAAACTATCAGGAAAGAACAAGCAGGAGAGGTAACCTCAGTCTATAAGAATACTGTCAATTTGGAAGAAATGGCAGTGCGGTTATTTCTGCATCATCAAAACAAAACGTGGATCAAACTGATGCTATTAAATGTTGGTACCTTCTTTAGAGCAGTATATATGTCCATCTCCACTTGCATGACAAACAGGTTAGAGGAACTGATCAGCTGTTTCATGAGGTTTATGCTGAAACAAACAACATGACCTCTGAATGGCAAAGGGCATGAATTGTGTTCAGTTCAACAGATTATCTGAATTCCATTTTATTATGCTAAACGTGTTCCCGTAGTATCTGGATTAATCCCGAAAACGCAATACCTGAGTTCTTTGAGGAGTTCCACACTCTGGTGGGTCATCAGGTTATTCAAGAGCCACTCAAGACACCTAGATTTAAAATAAGTAAGGTAAATGCAATGTATGCTTCTAATAAGCTGCTGAACACTTTCCCCCAGAAGTTATAGTAAAATAGGGAGCCCACAGCCATCATACTCCCAAAGCCCATCCAATCAACTACGACTGTCTTCAGGCCATAATGGACTACACACTGCTTCCATTCCATTTTTAACTTTTCACTTCCTATACATGCTTTCAATGTTCTGTCAGAATGAGAGAATGTGAAAATACCATTAGCAGCTCCTGATAAACAAACAGCCCAAATACTCAGGAGAAACAACCAGTTCTTCAAGCAGATGATCCTTTCACACAGAAGGATCAACAAGAAACAAATTGTTGAACACCTCATGTCTATTTCCTCTTCTGCTGCTTTCTTTCTTCAGCAGAAAAACACACTGGTTGTCTTTATATTTTTCTTTATCTGGACTGCTAGTATTGATTTTGGATGTCTGTCCTATTCGAACTACGATCTCTTTCATTTATTATTTAATTGTGGCTGACCTATTATATTTGATTAAAAGCTATCTCTGAGAACAAGGAGTGAATCTCCCCCTTTTTCTTCCAGGTGATTTACTGCAGAGATAAAAAGAAACTTGGAAATTGGGAAAAGGAATTCATAAGAATTTCAGTTCTGTCTCCAAGATTCTAAGTGTTGTGTCTTACGCTGAACACATAGCTCTAGGTTCTACTAATACCTAATATTATTCCATGTCAGCCAGAGAATATTAATTATTGTACAAGCTGAAAATATTATGCTTCTAAAATTAAACACATTTTTATATTTGAAGGGAGAAATAAGCAGCAAGGTTTCTGCTGAAAAACATCAGGAGATGCTTCTCAAAGCCACATCACATTAGAAAATCAAGGGGGAATCATACTAATTTTCTTCAACAAAATCTTTCTTAGTGCCAATACTTACTTTTTTTTCAAAGAATCTAATCCGTATGTTCCCGCAGAATTATAGTAACTACACACAGTTTTTGCATTAATTGTTTCCTTCATTGTCTCACCACATTGCTGTATTAAGCCATCCTGTAAACATATAATGATGCAAAATAAATCCTTACTCCCAGGCCTAATGCTACAGATGATGCCCTCACCTCAGGCTAACTGACAATGATTATCTAGAGATATTTTGGCTTCTTCTGGACAGACAGGCATACTACCAGCCTCAATCAAAATTACACAAAATAATACTCTATTTGTAACAGGAGAAAACTTGATATCCTGATGCTTAATTTTGAAGCTCAGAGGCATCCTAACCCTTTTGAACACATTTTCAAAGGCCACATAAGAAGTCCCTGTGTAAGTGTTCTGACTTGCAGCATCACTTATGTGCTCCCATCTAGAAAGGGGAAGAAGGGCAAGAGATAGCGAGAAAATGTCTTTCCCAGCTCTGTCAATACTGCTAAACATGTGCTTGAAAAAATACCCCTAGGATGACGGAAACGATGTGGCAATGACCATGTGCTCGTCCCTGGAATACAAATGAAGATGGGACTGAAAGCCCTGTACTTTGCCAAGCAAAGATTTGTAAAAGCATGGAGCCATTTCTACTTACCAGCTGTAACATGCTGCCAGCTGCCAGGAGGGCAATCACTCTACTAGGGTTTATTAACACTTCATCCCGGTAAAGTGAGCCAAAGGCAACCTGTAAGGCTAAAGAAACCATATCCTAAGGCTCCTCATACATATAAGACAGGTTATACATTTATTTTTTTCCAATTCAGTATGATTATTAAGGGTGATATTCAAAAAATGTTATTTCTCAAATTATTTTATACATAGTGACAAGATGCCTAGAATATTAAAAAGCGGTAGATCAGATGCCATTTAAAAATATATAAAACCCTAAGCAGGACAAATGGTTAATTTAAGTACAGAAATCACATTTGGGATCTAACATAAGCACCTTTCACACTAGAAAACTCCCATTCATCTGCAGATTTCACCAGCTGACATAATGGGACACTGCACAAAACTTCAGAAACTGATCAAAAAGTAGGCACTTCAAAATAAAGTGTTACATTTTGTATTTTCATTTAAAAATGCTGACAGTTTCAATCAGGTTGAAAAATGTGCACTCATAACAGATAAGTGACAAAAAAGCATTGTTGCAATGCAAGTCCTACTCTCTATATTGTGAAGTCACTCACATGTAACCAAGGATCCGAATTTGTAGCACATTGCATTCCACCTTTTGTTGAAAGAAGCAAGCTTCTGAAAGCAGCCATGACAAGGGCTTAGTTCATAACAGCATTAATAATGCAGGCATGTGTGGTTCAAGATACTAATTCAATGCTTCAGGGTATGCTCCACAATATCTAAACAATAATGGCAGTTTTATGATTTTCATAATTTGCTGTTCATTTATAATAAAAACCATGAAAGAAGTACTGAATAGTTTAGATGTGTGTAGTTGGTTAATACTGTCCCCAAAATGAGAAATCTGTTTTTCTGATGAATTATTTAGGAAAATGAGTTTTGCTAAAATGTATTTTGCAAAAATGAGATAAAATACTGGAAAGTCCTTCCAAAGATCATTTATAACTGGCCAGCTTTGTTCTAGAACACTTGATCCAAGTAATCGATTTCAATTTGAATCTTTTATGTTAGAAAAAGTCCAGTGAGGATTCCTTGCTTACCTTCTATGTCAATATTCTGATCAGGAATTTCCAATTCTATTGTGTCCATTCCTGACTCCCTCCAAGACCCACTGAACATACTTGAAAAGTAGCCAGACTACAAACAGAAAAGTCATGTTTTTAATAATTTTACAATCCTTGGAATTAAAGATTTTATATGATAAGAAGGTATAACACAATATTATTTTCATAGCAAGAGAAACTAAGAATTAAATTTGAATTAAATTTTCTATTTGTCGCTCCTAATTTGAAGATATGTTTCTTAAATTTCAATCTTATTCATATTCTGAACCAATTGATTAATTTGCCTACCAACCCACTCCATCTCCATGCACTGATTTTAATATTTCGATCTGAACAGAATAAATGGGTTTTCATTGCATTTAAAATAGGAAATGATGGAACAATTGCTCCAGGAAGTGAAACTAAGATCAAACTCTGGTCTCAAATTTGGTTAGTAAACTAGTATTAAACCACCCTTTATCAACTTGGCTGTAATAGGGCACTGCAGGTTACTTAATCTGGAACTGAAACTAGCATGCAAAGCAAAGAGGGAAGGGGCCAGCCAAATCTGTGTTATAATTTATTTATACAAGTGGACAGACTGCATCCTAGAAAGATAAGTGATCAGGAAAATACTGTTTAATAGAAGTTCACATCACAGCTGGAGGGGACCCATTATGAGCTGCTATCATTCACTGATGTTTAGCCTGAGAGATTAAAAAAATAAAATCTATTTGTACAACAATATTGTTCTTGTTCCATTTCCCTGAGCCTGACAAATCTGTATTATTCATAAATTATGTTAACACATTATTAGTTCTCTGCTACTCTGATATGTGTATTAAGATCTACCCCAAAAATAAACCCTGGTGCTTATTTTGACGACCAAAAAAATATAAGACTGGATCTTACTTTTGGGGAAACACAGTAGTACCTGTGTTTTCAGGACCACATTCAAGGCAGCAGCACTGAATTTGAGTATTAAACAAAAAGGTCTGAAGCCTGCTTCCTAATGATACTGGAGATCCAAGAAACAAAAGGGCAGTTTTTACCTGACAGAGGTATATCTTGTGCAAGTTCCATTCTTCCCCCAGGGCACATATTTTAACATCACTCTTTTCACCATTCAGAAACAGAGTCTGATAAATATACTTCGAAGTGCTTTTTAGTTTTTTCCTGAGATAGAAAAAAAACCCGTAAGTATTGAATGTATATGATATAAATAGCAATAGAAGAAAACACTTCGGGGTTGCACTGTGCAGTCCTTGAGGCCCTCTCAGCTTGGTTGTTTGCTTGCAGCTGTTTCATTACCCAATTGCTGAACATCATCAGTGTGAGGGAGGGGGGGGGTTTCCTGCCCGTTGATATACAGTAGAAGAGGTCTGGGGAGCCCCTTTCCTGAGGTTTTATTCAAAGGCGGGAAGGGAGTTAGTTGTTGCTTACTTTACGGGTGGCCCTTTCAGAAAATTGGACTTCAGCAGAGCCAGTTTGGCTTCCTTATTAAAAGGCAACCAGGCTAGAAGCCAGGAGAAGCCAGTGAGGTCTAGTCCTGGCTTAGGTGTGAATGACAGCTGGGACACTTCGGGCCAAAGGCTCTCTGTCACTTCACAGGGTTGTCTTGGGGAAATGGGAGGAGGAAGAAAAAAATTTAGGTCTGTCCACCACCTCGAGTGATTTACGAAGCTAACGAAGGCGGGAGAAAAAGCACCTGCATCCATTAAGCGAAGGCAGCACCTCCTGGGAAGGAGTGGGAAACCTGAGGGAGGCCCCAAAGCGGGTCCGGACGGTCACCGCCCTCCCGCCCTCCCTCCGCCGGAGCAGCGCCTCGCCGACCCTCCCCACGAAACCGCCGCTGCCTCGGGCCACGGGGGGGGGGCCCTCCGGAGCTTGGGCGACACCCCTCCAGGCCCGGGGCTTCCCGGAGCCGCGGCCGTACCTCCTGGGGGTGCTGAGCAGCCGCTCCTCGCCCTCGCTCTCGTCGCCGCTCTCGCTCTCGCTCAGGCCCTCGCCGCGCTTCCGCTTGGAGAAGGCCCCGTCGCCCCTCGGCCCCGTCGCCCCCTCAGCCGCCCCGGCTCTGGGCCCCCACACGCGGCTGCTCCACGAGCCCATAGTCGCCCGTCCGGCCGCCGCCGCCGCCGCCGCCTCTTTCTCCTCATGGGGACGCGCGGCGGGTTACGGGTAGAAAGCCGCCAAGGCGGCCGCTGCGCATGCGCCCCCCTTGGGACTGGAGGGAAGAGACTGACGCGACCGCTTCCCACGCATGCGTCAGCGTCTGGCTCGCGTCGGGGCCAACGGGAGACGCGACGGCCCGAGAGACGCGCGTCCTAGAACGACGTAACCCGGAAGCTCGGTGGCATCACTTCCGGCGCGAGAGCTGCATGGCCATGGCGAAGGAGGCGGCCGCCCATCGCGCTGGTGCCTTGAAGCAGCAGAACAAGCCGCACAAGGCCGGCAGGCACCGCGTGAGCAGCGCGCGAAGGCAGGGAGGTGAGCGCGCCGAGGGGCTCCTTTTTCCCGGGGAGCCTTTTTAGTAAGGTCGCTGCGGAAGCTGGTCGGTGTGCCGCTCGAAAAAAAGCCTCCAATCCAGGAGCAGTCTATCCCAGCCGGCCCCTCTCCGAGGGCCGGAGCGGCCTCTGCCCTTTCGGCCGACCCAGTTCAGCGTCTCTCACTCGTTTGAATGACTTCAAGGTTGAGCCATTCTGGGAGTTTCAAGGCCACGAGATGGAGAAACGCCCGTCTAGTCCCCGGGTCTTGGCAAGTCCCAGCATCCCCCTGTGAGCATGGCTGGCTGAGGAATTCAGGGAGTTGAAGTCCACAAGTCTTAAAAGTTGCCAGGTTAAATTCCTGGTCTATCAAAAGCAGCATCTGCAGCTTTGTCTGCTTTGTCAGAGGAGGAACAGGCAGGACGCCAGCAGATCTGCCCTTTTCCCCTCTTCCTTCTCCAGGTCGGGTCCCGGTCAAGACCCTCACTCGGCAGGTGCAACGCAACTGGTCAAAGCAGGACCGCAGGCACCGGGCATGGCAGCTCCGCCGGCAACACCAGCAGGCTGTGAGTCAGCAGCAGAAAGCAGAGCAGGGAAGCTGAATCTGGGTAGCGTGGTTGGAGAGTGGAGAAACCTCACCTATCTTTGCTTTCTCTGTCTGTAGGTGTTGGAAGAAAAGCGGAATTTGGGGCGCAGGGATGGGCCACCACACCTGGTGGTGCTGGTGCCGCTGCACGCCCAAATTGACCCCCATGCCGCCTTGAACATTTTCCAGAGTAACCAGGATTCTGTTGTGTTCCCAGCAAAGGGGGGGCCGCCTGGTTTTGCCCTGCTGTGCCCCCAGTCCAAGCTGCGCTGGCGTTTTATAGTAGCTGATGCAGGTGCGGGCCTACAAAATTGTTCTATGATCTTTCCTGCATTTTCCTGGAGTATTTCAGAGAGTTGTAACTTCCATAATTCCTATTCTCCAGGAAGCCTTCATGCTGTGCTGGATCTTGCCAAAGTAGCTGATACTCTCCTTTTCATGCTGGATGCTGCAGATGGTTGGGATGCTGTTGGCGACCGTTGTCTTTCCTGCATCTTTGCTCAGGGTCTCCCCAGCTATGGTGAGTATAGTGCCCAATTTTTTCCATCCATCTAGTAAGATGGGAAATGGCTGGCAGGCTACATCCTTGCTGTAAAGCTGCCTTGTCTCATTGTAGGACTTGGAAGCTTAGCTCTCTATAACTAAGCCAGCTGTGTGAAATATCTGTTCCCTGACAGTAAATTTGGGGCTTTGGTTGAATGAGTTTGCTTCCTCTGATGCTTTGTAATTATTATTACTACTTTGTTGTTACGCTTTTCTTATTATATTATGCTCTTACAGGTAATTCTCAAGTTATAACCACAATTAGGACCAGAATTTCTGTTGCTAAGCAAAGTGGTTGTTAAATGAGCTGTGCCCAACTTTACAATCTTTTTTCCCAAGTTACTACAGTTGTGAAGTGAATAATATGGTTGTTATTGGAATTCAGTTTCCCCATTGTCTTTGTTTTTCGGAAACCAGCTGGGAAAGTTGCAAATGGTGATCACGTGACCCCAGGATGCTGCAGCCATTGGAAATACATGCTGATTGCCAAGTGCCCAAATGTTGATTATGTGGCTGCAGGGTCGTCTGCAAGCGCGACAACCAGTCATAAGTCATTTTTTTCAGTGACATAATTTTGAATAGTTACTGAATGATTGGTTGTAAGTGGAGGACTACCTGTACTCGGTGCTACGGTATGAGCCACCAAGAATTAATTCAGTAATTAAGGGGGTTGTCACAGTTGCAAGACAACTCCACAAAGAGCTGGGCAGGGTTCTCCCTTGGCTTAATACCTTACGGTCAGAAGTTCTGTTCCTTGCATAGAATTCAGGAATCTGTTGGGTAGATGGAGTTCTCTGTTCTGTGGGTAATAGAAGAAAAATAGTATAATAATAGAATAAAAGCTGTTGTGGCGCAGTGGTTGGAATGCACTATCACAGGCCTAACTCACTGCTCAATGTCAGGAGTTCAATTCTGACTGGCTCAAGCTTTCCATCCCTCTGAGGTCGGTAAAATGAGGACCCGGATGATTGGGGGAAATATGCTGACTCTGTAAACCACTTAGAGAGAGCTGTGAAGTGGTATATAAGTCTAAGTACTGTTGCTAGTGCTAACAGCAGCCTCGGTGATAATCCAGAGGAAAGGCAGATTTCTCCGGCTGTCTGTACTTAAGGAAGCCTTTCTTTCTTTTTGTTCCTTGCAGGTCTTGCTGTTCAGGGTCTGGCTGAGCTGATGCCAAAGAAGCAAACTGATTACAGGAAAAAGCTGAGCAAGGTTATTGAGAAGCGATTTCCTGGGGCCAAACTTTTTTCTCTGGACACGGAGCAGGAATCTGCACTGCTGCTGCAGCACCTGGCCAGCCAGAAACAGCAGCACTTGGCATTCCGAGACCGGCGGGCTCACCTGCTGGCTGATGCTGCCAAATTTGTGCCCAGCTCTGACAGTGGCTTGGTGGGGACCTTAAAGGTGTCTGGCTACGTGAGGGGACGAAGCTTGAATGTCAACAGCCTGGTGCATATTGTTGGGCATGGAGACTTCCAGATGAATCAAGTGGATGCTCCCCCAGACCTCTTTGCCCTGAACCTCAAGTGCCCAGGAGGACAACTGGCAAGTCGGAAGAAACAGGTGGGGCCTGTCCCTGTGCAGGTGTGGCTGAGGTGCTTTTCCCCAAAGGGGGTGTGGTCTGAGCTGCTCTCTTGTGACTCCTGCAGGGTGACCTTAGCAGCAGCGTCACTGAGATGGAGGAAGAGGTGAAGGTCCTGAGCAAGGCTGATCCGGCCAAGCAGCAGTCTCTGCAGTCGGAAGTGGTTCCAGATCCAATGGAAGGAGAGCAGACCTGGCCCTCGGAGGAGGAGCTGAGGGAGGCAGACGGTCAGTCAGAGATTACTTAGTACAGGCCGTGACTTGGTTTGTGTGCCCTATGCCCGGAGTCTCCCACTTGGCAACTTTAAGACTTGTGGACTTCAGTTGTGAGAATTCCCCAGCCAGCCAATGCTGGGAGTTGAAGTCCACAAGTCTAAAGTTGCTAAGTTTGGAGAGCTCTGTCCTAAGCCATGTTTTCTTAAATGGGTTCCGCAGTTTATACTGTTAGCCTTAGCTTTTAATTAAATGGTTGAATTCACACAGGCTAAGATGGAACTCTAAGAAACCAGATTATACTTAACTCTGATGTGTAGATGCTGCCTAGCCTCCCTCAACAGGGCCAGCCTTCTTTAACCATGATTCCATTGAGGGAGTTGAGGCAATGTATACCTGTCTCTCAATCATTTCTTCAAGGGCTCAGTCATTATTATTACTGGCTTATTGTATTATAAAATGCACAATATATTTTGGTATAGTGGTATTTATATAGTATTGGCAAGAGGCATTAATACTTTGATGATTAAGATAAAGCTTTAAGGATAACCCAAAGAAATCTTTGAAGGGCTTAATTTTTTTCAAGTGTTCTTTTGGGTGGCTTGGTTTACTCTCTCAAAAAAAGAAACATTCCCAGTTTTTCAGATTCTTGATCCGTACGTAAGCTGCGCTCTGCCGGATCAGACTCCTGGCTTAGCCACCCCACCCTCTGCTGTCCTTGGCCAGCCCAGAGAGGCCCAAGGAAACCTACGGGCCTCCGAGCGGGCGGCCTTCAGAAAGAGTCCCCTGCTTTTGTTACCTTAAAGGGAGCACATAGACAATCCCTGTTCTGTGCCCCGATAATCATGGGAGGAATGCTGTAGTCTTCTTTCCTTTTCGCCCTGGGAGACTCTCCGGCAGTAACTCTTTCCCAACTCTGCGCAGAATCTCTCAAGCAGAGCAAGAAGGCGGTCAGGAGGGTCCCCGAAGGCACATCTGCCTATCAGGCTGCCTGGATCCTGGACGGGGACGAATGGAGAAATGGCAGTGAGGAGGAGGAGGAGGAGATTGTGGAAGAAGCCATGGCCCAGGTAATGGAGTTGGCCTTTTTGTGCTCACCTGGGGAAGAGTCTGCAGGCCCACTGGCGGCCGGGGCTTTGGAGGTGGAATCAGCACAGGGCAGGCACTGAGGACCACGGTGGGGGGGAGGAGGGCCTCCTCACGCTCTGTCACTCAGTGCTCCCCCCGGGTTGCTTTTGCTCTGCCAGGATGGGAGCAGCAGTGCAGAGGAAATTGCTTCGGAGGAGGAGGAGGAGGACTGTGAAACCATGACGTTGCCTGAGACGGAGCAGGCCGAGGAAAAAATGGAGGAAGAAGAAGCAATGCTGGAGAAATACCGACAGGAGCGAGAAGAAGAAATGTTTCCAGATGAGGTGGACACCCCCCGGGATGTTCCAGCCCGGGTCCGGTGAGAGCCTCAGCAGATGGCCAGGGCCACGGGAGGTGTTGGCACATCCCAGGGGGTGTTACATGGGATCGTGTGGGAAGCTGAGGCGAGGCCTGGCCTGATTGCCCAGGTCGCCCCTTTGCCTGCCCTGGGAGGCTGCTTTCAGCTGGAGGCTCTGCTGGGTTACAGGAGATGGGAGAGGGCGGCAGGCAGAGGGGTTGAAGAAAAGGATGATCCCGCTGGCTCCCTCAGGTTCCAGAAGTTCAGGGGACTAAAGAGCTTCCGAACATCTCCCTGGGATCCCAAGGAGAAGCTCCCCAGGGACTATGCCCGGATCTTCCAGTTCCAGGACTTTTCACGGACAAGGAAAGACCTCTTCCGGCAGGTGGAAAAGGAGGAAACAGATGGAGCTCAGGTTGGCCCTTTCTCCAGTCTCACTCGACAATTGTTGGTTTTACATTTTTAATTTTTTTAAAAAAATGATAGTTGTACTTTTACAAGTACATTGTACTTTTACAATTATTTTTTCACGCTTTTAGAGTTATGCTTTACTTCAGGAGTGTCCAACCTTAGCAACTTTAAGACTTGAGGATTTCCACTCCCAGGATTCCTCAGCCACACTTGACACCTCTGCTTTTATTGTTGATCAGCTGCTCAGATCTCTGTGGAATATCCAAGTTCTAACCCGAAGAGCCTTGTCTAACTCCTTAGAGTTCAATCTTCAGAGTTGTATTTCCATGTAACCTGCCCGTGTGCTCCTTCTGCAGGTCGGCTGGTACGTTACAATCCACCTTTGCAACGTCCCAGTTTCTGTTATGGAGAGTTTCCAGCAGAAGCAGGAGCCTCTGGTGCTTTTCACATTGCTTCCCCATGAGCAGAAGGTGAGTGCCAAGAAGAGAGGTGGTCATATTTTGTCTTTGGGACAAGGCTTCATTGTGACTGGCTCAAAGCCTAGAAGAAACGACTTTTCTCTCGGGGGTCTGAATCAGTCTGAAACCAGCTAAGGATCCCTCGGTGGGCTGAGGTTTCTTGGGCCTCTCCGCCTCTGATTCCTCTCCTCCTTTTATGGTCTCCAGATGTCTGTGCTGAACCTTCTGGTGAGACGCCATCCAGGATACAGCGAGCCAGTAAAGTCCAAAGAAGATGTGATAATCCACTGTGGATTCCGCCGATTCCTGGCCTCCCCTCTCTACTCTCGGCACACCTCAGGTGGGGGAACTCCCTTTCTAGCATTGGTGATGTTAAGTAGTTGGGTCATGAAACATCTGCATGAGAACAACCGAGCTCAGGGAACAGTAAGGACCCCTCATGTCGACCCTGAGCTACAAATGTTCTATCAGTCAAGCTAAACTAAACCGGCAACCCCCCCATCCCACCCCCTTTCAGTGGATAAACACAAGCTGGAGAAGTTTTTCCATGCTGACACTGCTGTGGTGGCCACAATCTACGCCCCCATTACTTTCCCGCCTGCTTCGGTGCTGCTGTTCAAACAAGAGAGTGACGGTGAGTTGGGAATTGGGTCAATATGGGCTCTCATGCGCTGGTATCCTCTGGTGAGCTGCTACTGCCGCTGCTGCCACCCCTTCTGCTGGCCTTTCTAGATTTTGCCTTCTTTTCTAGCAGGCTCCCTTAACCTGTTACTTACAAATGGGTTGGATTGCCTTCCCCTTCATTCTAAAGCTTGAAAGGGGGGGGGGGTTCAGATTGTCTGCAGGGTGCCAGGAAGGGAAATGTTGCCGTGCAGCAGTTGGGAAAAACGGCGTCTTCCTCTGTGGCACATTGTCCTGTCCTGGCTGATACGCCGTCTCTCTGGGGCCTAGAAAAGGAACGTCCCAGAGCAGATCCTTTTTTCCGAGAGTGGCGGTGTGGGGTAGAAATAGTTGATGTGGGGCTTTCTCCCCAGCAAAGCTTGCCAAGGATCTTATTCATTGGCTTGGGCTTATTTTATTGGTGATGTCACTCTGGTTCTTTCAGGTTTGTATTAAAACTTGCAGGTAGTGGTAATAAACTTGTTGCTGAACTACACCAACCACTATGCTGAATACATTGTGGTCCATCTGTGCCATACAGTTATCCCATTTGGTGGCCACATGATCAGTGAAGGTAGCTGAAAATATGGCTTGGCTTTAAGCCTCGGTACTTTTTCTGCCCCTTTGCTGATCTTAGAGTCATATGGGCCGGATTCTGAGGCAATGCAAATGCTGGTTATCAATTGCCCAGCCTGAAGTTGGGCCCTGGACCCCTCTGCCCCGAAGCCACAGGATTCTCGCGTGTTTTTTTGCAGGAGCACAGAATCTCTTGGCTACGGGCTCCCTGCTCAGCGTAGATCCCAACCGGCTAGTCATCAAACGGGCGGTGCTCAGTGGCCACCCGTTCAAGATTTTCAGCAAGCTGGCTGTTGTGCGCTACATGTTCTTCAACAGAGGTATTGCATCTAAAGTTGGCAGAGGGAGCATGCAACCCTTGCTTGTCTATGACTATCATCTCAGGAGTTGCTTTGAACCCTACTGGACTCCTAGTTCTTCCTTATCCCTCTCCTGCAGAGGATGTCCTGTGGTTCAAACCAGTGGAGCTCCGGACCAAGTGGGGCCGCCGCGGCCATATCAAGGAACCTCTGGGTAAGTGGGTGAATGTCTTTGGGGTGTTGGTGGTCCAGCAGATCTCCCTTCCTCACTGGCTGCGTGCCCTAACTCTCACTCTTCTCTTTGTTGCCAGGAACCCATGGCCACATGAAGTGCCAGTTCGACGGGCAGCTGAAGTCCCAGGACACAGTGCTGATGACCTTGTACAAGCGGGTCTTTCCCAGGTGGACATTCGACCCCCGTGTGCCAGAGCCCACAAAGTGGAGGGACGGCACCCGGCCTCGCCTAGAGGGAGAGGAGAAAATGGACTAGCTGCTCTAGCTAAGCAACTATTTATGCAAGGGAAAAATACTATTTCCTACAAAAATAAATCTCTGGGGTACTTAGTATTTCTTTTGATGGTCCAACATCTGGAGAAATCTGGTACCTGTGAAGCAGCCAATTGTCCTTTGTTTGATTTGCCTTAATATGCTTCACTTTTCATGGAGCCACTGGAGTAATTACCTTGCAGATGGGTTTATGCAGGAGGAAGTTTAGCTGTGGGTAGCAGAGCTTCCTTCTCTAGTAATGAGAGACATGTTGAGACAACCACACTTGTAAAGGAGTCTTCAGTGGGATTTGAGCTGCAGGGCCCAAGGACACCAGGCCTGCCCCCCTCCCACAGTCTGAAGCCTGGAGAGCTTCATAAGGTAAGTACAGCACGGCCCAAGCACTGAGGGGTCTCCGGGGAGGGAAGGAGAGGTGGGGAATTCTGCACAGGAGTGTAAGAGTGAATGACCGCAGGGCCGTTGCAGCCGTCGTAACTTTGAAAGGAGGTCTTATGTGGCTTTTGGGGAGAGTCTGTTGTAATTTTGAACACACTCATTAAATGGCCTGTTGTACCTTGATTACCTGTATTCAATAAAAACCTCATCTTTATGCAGTATAAATGAGACGGAGCCAAAATTTTAAAATGTTTTATTGTATTGCTCATTTTATACTGCATATTGTCCACCTGTTTCAAAGCAGGGGCTAATTTTTTTTAAAAATTTAGAAATAGAGAGCAGGCACAATCAACGTTAGCATGATATGGTTGGCATTTTTAAAAGCACTGTTACAAAAGATTCAACTACTTGTCATCTACCGTGGGGTGGGGAACTACGGCCTTTTTGTGACTTGTGGACTTCAACTCCCAGAATTCCTGAGTCAGCCATCTTGGCTTAGGAATTCTGGGAGTTGAAGTCCAAAGTCATAAAATAGGGCCATAGTTCTCCACCTTTGTCCTATGGGGACAGCCAGGGACATGTCTTCAATGTCAAGATGGGGAAGAAATCTGGAAGCTCTTAGTCTTCTCCGCCGCACAGAAGGAGCAGAACTTTCCTGTAGTCCCCTGAGGTGTCTCCCTAGAAGGGAAAAACAAAGCATCGTTCAGTTTTATTTTATTAAAAGGATGCAAATTCTAGCAAACCAGGGCTCTGATTACCTCTGAATTACAGGTATGCAGAATAAAGTTCACCATGTGTTTAATGTGAACCACTCTTGCCTTTCCTGAAAGCAAGGGTGCCCACAAGGTATAGTCGGAAGATGGTGCCATAATGACGCAACCCAAGTTCCACGACATACTGAAAATAGGCTGAGTTTCAGTGACTGCCATCTTGATGTTTTTCATTGCAACCTACAGATGACTTTGGCTGGAAGTGCCCCAGTAACATTGGAACAGTTTGTTGGGCACACCTCTCATCCTCTGTGCAAGACCAAGGTGATACTGTGCAGAAATTGCATAAGATCACACACCGCAGCTCACCTTAATGAAAGAGTAGAGGGATTTTCCATACATGCGCTTGAACTCTGCCTTAATGTCAATCATATCGATCTCACAGCGAGAAACCATCAGGCGAATCAGAGTGTCATCATCGGTCCCCAACCCCTGGTTTCGGGTTGGAAAAGAAAGACACGCCAAGTCAACGCTGAACTTCAGCCAGCAAAACATTTTGTCCCTTTTAAAACAGCCACCTGCTAATGGTGGAGCCCTTGACACTTTGAGCATGGTGGTTTTCTTGCATACATTTCATTACCAAACTAGGTAATATCAAACTAGGTGAGCTAGCACTGATGAAGATTCTCAGTCCTTGAGGTATAGTTACCTGGAAGTTGAGCCATGGCAACTGAACTTTTTTTCTTTTTGGTTTGAAATGATTTGCTAATTATCTAAGTAGCTTCTTCAAGTTGAAGAAGCTATTTGAATAAGTAGCCAATCATTCCAAACCAAAAAGAAAAAAAATCCGGTTGCCATGGCTCAACTTCAAGATAGCACTGAGCATGTTAACTAGTTTGGTCATGAAACTTCTGCCAAAAGCCACCGTGCTCAGAGAGCATCAAGGATCTCACAGTTCAACTCTGAACTATAAATATTCTATCAGCACCTGCTAATTGTGCTAAATCAAGCTGTTAGTGTTTCTCAACTTGTAAAATATATGGACTTTAACTCCTACAATTCCCCAGCCAGCATTCTGGGACTTGAAGTCCACACATCTTAAAAGTCACTGAGGTTGAGAGACACTGATAGAGTGTCTTGCTGGAACTTTGCAGAATCCCTAGGACAGCGTTATCCAACCTATTCTGGAGAAGCCAGGGATTAAACGCCAGCCTTTTTCACGCAATGCCTATACCCGGATCATATAACAACAGGAAATCAATCCCTTAATAAGGCAGTCCTATTACAGAGCTCCTATTCAGTTTGCAGCCATTTTTATGCATTATATTTACCTTCATAGACTTGTACAGCCGTTCAGCAAAGTAGGCAGGTCTATTTCTCATGCATTTTACTGAGAGGAGAATAAAGAAAGGCAGTTAGGCTTCTGGTTCTGCGCAGTTTAGCACAACAGCCGAGGGATTGCAGGGCTCTGCGCCCTACGGCTGATTTCTTTCTGTTTGGGAACCCCAAATGGGCCAAAAGCTGCCCTGGAGAGGTAGCAAGGAAGGAGGGAAGCCCTGTCAATCCTGAGGAGACGGCGGTCGATCCGGACATTTGGGGAAAGCTCTCCAAAAAACGACAGAAGAAAGGCTAGCATCATTCATGAATCTAGCCCAAGCTACATGCAGCTGAAGCCGAAAAGCACTAAACTAAGCGTGACTGTAAACAGCGTGACTGAACTGGGTAAGAATATTGATTTTCTCTCTTCTACCTGACTGATTTCCTGAGAAAAAAAGAAAACCCCCAGAAGTAAAAATCCTCTGAAAGTGAGGGGTGTGTGTCTAAACAGAAGAATTAAGTTTAGGGGGAAAAAATTGAAAGATGGACTGGTGCTGACATCTAGTGGTGGATGAAAATACTGCCCTAAAAGCAGTAAGAAGCAGAAAGAAGCTTCTTGTCGTAACCTTCAAGGTGTTGATTAAACAAAGAGCAGCTGGACTATCTACAAAGTGAGAACTACAAAACTTAGAAAAAATTGACCTGCCTGGATTATAAATATTTTTTAAATTGCGACTTTAAAGTGATTGGCAGAGAAAGGACTTTTGGTCATTATGGAGCATCAGAGATCTGCAGAAAGAACATACCAAGAAAAAATAAATACTTACCAGGAGGAAATGTTTGTTCTGTTACAACAAATGCAAATGATATTAACTTCAAACCATGAGGAAATTAAAAATGAATTCCCATTGTTGGGCAGAGTTTCCCTCTCTCCATGTTGCGGACACCCTGGATGCAAGGTAACCCCCTGCAAAGCAACTGTCACCAGCTAGAGAGAAATAAAAGCTGATGTTGAGTCCTCACCTATTGCCAGCAAGGCATCTTCAAGGTCTCCTGACATCTCGGATTTAATACTCTCTGTAATATCTTTGTTAGCAATGTTCTTGTATTCATCAAATACTAAATAAATAAATATTTTTATTAGCAAACAAAAGAAAAGCAGTTCCAAAACCTCCCAAACCTGGAGACTCAGCTATGTCTATGAGGTCCTCTGTTCTGTTATTTCTATATTCAAATTTCCAATATTCCCCATTTCCTGATTATACTGTATATTTTTTCTAAAAAAATAAAAGAGAAAACAGCAGATGTCCTGAAATAAGAAAAGACCTATGCTAGTCTATGGTGGCCACAAGTAATGGGGAAATCACACCATCATGCTTGAGTCACAGAACATTAGAATAACAGAGTTGGAAGCGATCTTGGAGATCTGCTAGTCCAATCCCCAGCTTGAGCAGGGATCCTATACCATTTCAGACAAATGGCTATGCCATCTCTTCTTGAAAACTTCCAGTGATGGAGCACCCACAATTTCTGAAAGCAAGCCATTCACTGATTAATTGTTCTCACTGTCAGAAAGTGTCTTCTTAGTTCCAGGTTAGATTTCTCTTTGATAATCTTCCACCCATTGTCCTGCCTATTGTCCTGCTTTGGAGAATAGGTTGAGACCACTCCTCTCCTCTGTGACAGCCCCTCAAGAATTGGAAGACAGCTATCACGACATCCCTAGTTCTTCTCTTTGTTAGACTAGACATGCCCAGTTCCCTCAACCTTTCATCATATGATTTAGCCTCCATCTTTGTTGCTCTTTTCTGCACACTTTCCAGGATCTCAGCCTCTTTTTTGTATCATGGTGACTAGAATTAAACAAAAGAGTTAAACAGCAGGACTTAGTTGCTGCAACTCTCATTCCCAGCCTACAACTGACAGATCATCATGTTGCTTGTTAGTATAGCTTACAGTTGGAGAATAGATCCCATTTTAGCATTCATTCTAGAACAGACGTGATTCCCAGGGCGCTTCTTTTTTTTACAAGAATACGCTGCCAACCTCATTGTTTACCTCTTAACAGATGGCTCCTGCTTCTGGAGCACAAGATGGTAATGAACTGACCCTCACTGGTGCCCCATTTCTTCTCTCCTGCTTCATACAGGCACTAGAAAAAACAGGCACAAAGAGCAGATTTTGCAAGGCAGTGAAAGAACAGGCAGGGGATGGGTGGGGTCTGAGGTTTGGAACCACAACCTAGTACAACTGCCCCATGGTAGCTTCCTTCATGTTTTCACAGACAGTAGGAGAGATGGGCAACTTCACACAGATAAAGAAATGGAACTCTCCACCTCTGAGCTGTAAGGCACGCAATTGTAAAGCTGGGACGTGACTGAGGATGTAAAACTAATTATTTTGGGTCCTGGGGATGCAATGTTGTGCACAATAATTGTTTTAAGCTTACCAGGCCTTACTGCAACTGATAACAATGGTCTGCATGTGACACACAATGGGGTGGGGATAAGGAGACATTTATTGTGTCACCCCCAAATTGCCATTTGGCTGCTAAATTTTGGGGGTCTTCAACAGGCCCTGCAATGTCCACCTGTGCTCACCTACCTTTGTTCTGAAGGATTTAAAGAGGCAAAGAGTGGGAATTAAGTTATACCCAGTTTAAAAGAAAAGCAGTTTGGAAATAAAGCAGCAAGCTGCCTATTCATTGCTGCAAATGGGGCACTCACCTGGGCATCCTCCTGGACCAGCCCCTGGTCGACATGCTTACTTTCATCCCTGTTGCCCTGGGGAGAAAAGGCAGGGGGGAGGCAAGTGAAGCTCAACAGCAATTTTTTGTATACACCCAAGTTTTGAATCACTACACAGAACTGCAAAGAAAGGTCAAGATAACACAAAATGTTCTCAAACAAGCCATGATTCATTTTCACATCTGCAAAAAGGCTTGCTCAACAAAGACAAACCGTGATTTAGGGTGCGGTGTGAATGCATCCACTATGTGAAGTGTGATCTGCGGCATGACAAGAGCCAAATACTTACAGTCGACAGGGATACCAGGACTCTCCGGAACTTGGAGGAAGTATCTGAAACAATGTCTTTCTCAAGGGTGGTTCCATACTCTGCGAAAAGGCCCAAAGGTATATCTCAAAAAGGCAGCACAGTGCCATTCAGACAATTGGTGGAGCTGAGGAAAGCTTCACAACTATGGCAACTTACTGAAAAACAACCACTCACTTGCAGGGGTGTCTGCAGGGCATGACCAAAAAAGTCTGGATGGTGTCTGCAGATGTAGAGGGTTGTGAGAATAACCTTGAGGAACAGGAGGTGTGAGCACCAGTAAATCAGTTTAACTGTAAACCTGATATTTCATGCCTGACCTTTCCAGAGAGGCCCAAGACAAGAGACTGTGCAGTCCTGGACTGTTGGGGGGAGAGAGGAAAAGATTCAGACCCTCCCAGAGTATATTCGGTAGGTTAGAAGGTTACAGCTTTAGCCTGGCAAGATAATGTCCATTGGGTGAAAGCAAATAAAGAAATGGATTCAATTGGATCTCACTGGGTCATCTTTGGACTCAGATCTGACAGAAATCCTATAATGAATATAATTTTAATATTCACAACATTGGTGTTCAAGTTTGATTTGCCTTAAATCGCTGACAGCAATGGTGCAATCAATCACAGCTCCGCCTATTTTTTATGTGCACCATCAGAGACACCATCTTGATTTTTCATGTGCACATCATAGAGGCCATCTTGACTTTTTTGACCAGGGTCTGCAGACAGTTATGACCGTGGGGAATCCCACTAGACTCCAAGATTGGTTCTGCACAAATTCTGGGAAATGTATCTAAAAGCATTCTCTGTGGTAGGTCTGTGAGTTAAGGGTAGGTCTGCATATCCCCAAACATAGCGTGCAAATGGCGTTCAGGCCTTCCAATTGCCGTTAGAGCACAGCTGGCCATATGATTCCAGAAAGCTGCGTGAATTGGCTGCAGGCGAGTGAGGAAGGCTATGGGACAGAATACTCACGACGGTGATAGGTGTCATTAATCCTCCGGATTTCCTCATTGGTACGAGATGCCAGGATTTCTATCAGGCAGCCCTCATCTGTCCCAGCTCCCTGAAGGACAGACCGAGTGCTTCAAAAGAGTGCCAAGGCTGGGCAAATGCCAGCCTGGAAATGTTTCTAGGAACATCTCCAGGCTTCAAAATAATTTTGACCAACCTGAAGGTGGAAACCAAAGCTCAAAGATCTCAAGCTGAGGGACTGTGTGGAATTTTATAGTATGAAAATGCAATATGCTGCCATATGATGGAAAACTGAGTCTATCGTATTTCCTGCTCTCGTAGGTGCACACTGTCATAGGTGCTCCCTACCCCAAAGTAGGGGGACAAAAACCAGGAACAGATGGAGCAAATTCCTACAATTTCAGGTGGCTCACTGGATCCCCATTTTCCAACCCATTCCCATGGTTTATTGTCTCTCTGATGTCAGACTCAAAGAGGGCTCCAACCCAAGAAGCACATTTGTTCCACAAGTCTTAAAGCTGCCAAGGTTGGACACACCTACTTGACATAGTCAACAATATGCTAAGTTGAGCTGGGGCAAAACGTAGAGCTACAGTTATGGCTGTAACTGCTCACCTCTTTTTTACATGGAACATACAGTAACAGGGCTGGAAGGGACCTTGGAGGTCTTCTAGTCCAACCCCCTGCTCAAATGTCAACATGTGTCAATATTTGTACAAAAAGGGTGGCGCTTCAATCATGTAGCTGCAGAGATCACCTTGACTCTTTGACCTCCCCCAAGACCTAGTTGGATCCATGTTGCAAGTCAGCATCTAGAGATGAGTAAGGCATCTCCATGCTACCCACTTCCTGGAACCTTGAAGCAAATTGTCCAAAGAATATATTCCATATGACCTTTTGAGATACAGGTCTTGGTCTGATATAAAACAGCCTCATGGACACTTCCACACAAATCTCTGCTTCTTTGTTGTAGTTAAAATGTTTGCAAACCTTTATTGCTCTTTTCAGCTCCTCTACATCATACAGGGTGATGGGGGTCATCAGCCCAATAATAACTTTCTCAAAATTCTTACTCAACTCAGACTTCAGGTCATCAATCAAATCCTGTTGGGGAAAGAAAATGATTAGATAACATCACAATGTCTAGTGTCATTTTTTGTTTCAAGTGTACCACCCAAAATTAAATCTTAGTTCTACCGGTAATTCTCTTCTAAAATTGGCATATTTCCTTCAAGGCAAAAGTCAAAGCTGTACGACAGCTGGCTTTTCAATTTTAAGGACATAAACCAAGATCAACCTTTTTTGTGACCACAGAATCTCACATTTGACCTGATCGTTGGAAACTTAGCAGTGATCAATGAATTTGGCTTGAAATTTCTCAGGGCCATTTTTTTTTTACTTCTCTGTTTCTTCCCTGTCTCCTACTTTGTTCCATTGATATAGTATCAATCTTGTGAACTCTCAAGTCCCTTCTTTCTGCTATGTATTCAAAATGGACAGTGATTTATATATATATAAACAGGGTGTAACATACAGCATTCTAGATAACTCCTCCCCTGTTTCTTCCCTCCCTAACACAGCTGGCAAAAGTGAGACAGAGCCTGTGGCCTAGAGGTTAATACAGCTGCCTAACATGCAGACAGCCCAGGTTCGAATCTCAGAAGGGTATGTCTGGTTGAAAAGAGCTAAAGAGTTCGAAATAGCTATTCCAGTTCTCCCTTAATTCTTTGCTAGCAATCCAAATTTTAGAAATATAAAATACATTCATATATGTATGTGTATATGTGTGTGTATATATAGTAAATATATATATAACATATATATATTATAGTAAAATACTTTAATTAAAGTATTTTAACTTTAAACTCTCCTGGTGAACGCGCTTTATTCATTCCATTTATAATTATGCCCAGGAGTTGCATTTTCACCATCATTATTGAATATATATATGTATATATACAGCATATGTATATGTGTATATACATATTTTTCACTGGAAAAATGACAATAAATCTTATCTTACATTACCTTGCCATTTACCTTATTATTTAGGAAATCTAATGTGGCTCTTCTCAAATTTTCTCACTATTCATTCCACGGCTGATGTTAACAGTTTTATGCAGTTTTCAGCCCCCTCAAATTTGCAGTCTATATGTGAATCCCAGAGTTCACATTTAGTGCTACCTACCCGACCAATACTGGATTTGTAGGCAATCTTAATCTCCTGCCGTTGGGACAAGCTCCTGTTGACCAAAATGTCAATGATGGCATCTTCATCAGTACCTGGGACAAGAGACTGAAGATTCAGAGAAGGGCAAGAAAGACGACCAAGCAATTGAAACTAGAATCCATGGAGCAGACTATGGGGAGAAGCTGGTAGGTGAGATCAAGTAGTTGTTTGGCAAACAGGAAAATGCAGTTAATCAGGACCTCCAGAGCAAGGCCACAGGAAACACAAATCAGAGGAGAGAATACCAGAGTTTAGACCTAACTCAGAACAAGGCTATTTCTCATGGTCTCTTTGATGCATCTCTGTGCGATTTCTTTTCTGAACACTTTCTGCACAAAGCAAGCTTAGCCTTTCCACCTCCAGCTGGGCAGGGTTTACAATTCCCAGCAGGACGTCTACGGAGACTCTTCATCATCCAAAGCTGCTTTTTCCAAAAGGCAACTGGACTTCCTTCTCTTCTTGAACTGAAGAACCTTTCTGGATGAGAAGCAAAACGTTTTCAAAGAAAAAAAATCAAGTCCAATTGTCTTTTTTGAAAAAAGCACCTCTGGGAATTCGCAGCAGGCATAAGCTTCTGGTTGAAAATTTTGGAAGTTCCAGTCCAAGGGTGCCAGGTAGGAAAAGAGGATATTTTGGCCTGATCAAAGGGGACTTTGAGGCAGAAACACTACAACCTCAGAGCAATAAATCAAGAATAAAGCGGATGACTCACCCAAGCCTTTCATAGCTTTACGGAGATTCTGGGCATCAGCCTCAGGGTTGAAGTTGAAGGTCCCTTTGACGGTGCCTCTGTTTCCTGCCTAAAGGCGCAAAAGGTCAAAAATCAAACCCCAGGAGAGTTGGAAAAACAGAGGAAGCGAGAAAAAAATCCAGGTGTACAAGGAATCTTTGACTTATGACCACAATAGAGCCCAAAGTTTCTGTCGCTTAAGCAAGAGAGTTGTTAAGTGCATTTTGTCCCATTTTATCATCTTTTGGGCACATTTTTTAAGTGAATCACTGTGGTTGTTAAATGAACCATGCTGTCATTAAGTGAATCTGCTCAGTTTCACCAGAGACATCATAACAATGTTTATCCCCTCAGAAGGTCCAGGACTGGCACACACCCCTTGATCTCTCCCTCAGAGGAAGGCTCTTCTGAGGATACAGGCAAGATCAGAAGAAACGGAGATTAAAGGTGATTAATTTGGGAATTAATTTGGGAACAGCCACTGAGCCAAATGCCCCTCAGTCTCAAAATAAGGAATTTGTATGTGCGTGCCTCCAAATCAATTCTGACTCCTGGACAAGACTTCAGAAGTGGTTTTGCCTTTCTTCTTTCTAGGGATGAGGAGAAGAGCTTGGCCCAAATTCACACAGTTGGCACACAAATCACGATCTCCTGGTTTCTAGCCTGGGGCCTTTAATCACCCCACCCAACTGGCTCTCTCCTTTGAGTCAGCCTTGACTCCTGATGACTCAGGAATGAGTCCCTGCAATTTTCTTGGCAGATTCTCCCTCAGGCCTTCTTCTCCCTGGACCTGAAAGGGAGGGATTGGCCCAAGGTCCCCCAGTCTCCTACAGTCTTGCTGCTTCTTCTCCAGAGCTTGAATCACTACATCAAGCTGGCTCCCAAGGAAATCATTAGGAGCTGTCATCCTATGCCAGAAACTGATGGTGAATTTTTAGCTTCCAGGGTCACCTGCAGAGGAGGTCAAGACCTGGGTGTAGCTCTGGGCTGCAACAGAAGCTTTGCTGCCACTTAAAGAAAGGCTGGAGAAAATCTTCTGCCACAGCCTCACTAGGGGAGCAGGCCAGGTTGAACCAGTCCAGCTGACACAAAGCAGTTTCAAATGAAACTGTCTACACAATGAAAGTAGCAAAGGGAAGGAAAGTTAACTGGGTTTTCCACCTAGTGCTAAACCAAGGTTTAACTATGACTTGCTGAATACACAATTGGCTACCTTGGCATTAGAAACAAAGCCGAAAACCACCATTCATGGCACACAATGGCTAGGGTCACCCTATTCACTGAACCCAAAATAAAGGAACCAACATATCACATCATTCGCTGCCACACCAAGCCCTCTAATAGCTGTTCCCAAAGATAATATTTACCCCAATTAATCCATCTGATTAATTGCCCTGAGCCAACAGCTCAGAACACTGGACCTTTGATCAGATCCAGGGCACGCCAGGCGCCAAGTGCCAGGCACCGCCTGGGACCTCAAGCAAGCAAAACCACGTACCATGGCAATAAACTTCCGCAATTCTCTAGCAACCAGTCAGCCCTGCAGATGGACCCTGCAATAAAAAAGAGAATAAATTCTGATAAGGATCAGCAAACACAGGAAGAAAGGAATGGTTATTAAACTCTGTGGCACTTTTTGCTATTAAAGAGGAAATTAAACAATATCTGATGCTTGGAAAGATTATGGGTGGGCATGAACATCTGCAGCAGGTAAATATGTACCAAACGGGTATATCTGGGCCCTGAAGACATTCAATGTGGGTCTCTCAAATCCCCTTTCCCCATAATTGCATAAAATTGCCATTTTTAAAAGAGGAACTAATCGTATTAAGTGTATGCAAATAATTTCATTCAATTTTAATTGAACGTAAGCTTTATCAAAGATAGGTTGGGTGAAAAAATCAGCACACCCTTGCCTGGAGACTAAAACATATGAAGAATGTTTGCAAGAATTGGGTATGACTAGTCTAGAGAAAAGGCCTTTTTTAAAAAAAATATATTTTATTGATTTTTTTACAGTAACAATCTTTAGTGCTTAGTAAACAGTATGTTATCTGGGTTCATATATTTAAAAAACAATCACTAATAATTAATTTCTATAATTCCATAATATATTAATAGTTTGTTTCCTTGATCTTCCCTTCTTCCAATAATATTCTCCTTTGTCAGCATTAGACAGATATAATTCTTTTTCCGTGATTATCGGGGTGCCCCTCCTTCTTCGTCACCTCTCCAGGGCGACATCAGACCCATTTAGGGTCCTCTGGCAGGGCGAAACCAGCCACAGGGTGCAGAGCCCCACAGTCCTTTGGCTGCGTCACTGCGACGTGGAACCAGAAGTGAGAAAAGAAGGACTTGGGTGACATGATAGCAGTATTCCATTATTTGAGAGGCTGCTATAGAGAGGAGGGGGTCAACTTATTTTCCAAAGCACCGGAGGGCAGGACAAGAAACAATGGATGGAAACTAATCAAGGAGAGAAGCAACCTTGAGGATTAAGAAGAAGTTCCTAACAGTGAGAACAATTAACCAGTGGAACAGCTTGCCTCCAGAAGTTGTGGGTGCTTCATCACTGGAGGTTTTTAAGAAGAAACCGGACAGCCATTTGTCTGAAATGTTATAGGTTCTCCTGCTTGAGCAGGGGGTTGGACTAGAAGACCTCCAAGGTCCCTTCCAGCTCTATTCTGATTGATTGATTGATTGAAGTTGTCCCACAGCAAAGTGGCCATGGCCAATTGGCTGTGCCAAGTTGGCCGCATTGAGTTGTCCTAGAAAGGGGCTTTCTGTAGATACGGAGGTGATGTTGCCTAGGTGAAAGGACTAAAACAATGTTTAAGTCCAGAACTTTGGAAGCAGTTCAGGTAGACACCTCCCAAAGCCAAATATGGAGGAGGAAGTATATGGAGGAGGAAGGGGTCAAGCAGAATCAAACTGGTAACAGTCTATTACAATAACCCATTTCAATAAAGATAGTTTTAGCCTTTGGGTAGAGTTCTTTTCCTGGTCTGCCCTATCTAGTGAGCTGCTAACCATATGACTACAAATTTTGGTTACATAGCTTCTTGCAAATAAATTCAACCTCTGGCCTAGCTATATCCTTGGTGTAGCCTTCCCTATAGGCTGGCACTCTCCAGATACTGAGGATGCTTTTCCACAATTCCCTAGCCAACATAGCTGGTTAGGGAATCCTTGGAATAGCAATCCCAACACAGCTTGAGGAGAACTGCAAAGGCATCCCTAATGTGGGCTGAGCCAAAACCAGAGGAGTTTCCCAAGAAGTAGAAATTTCCACATCTGTTCCAGGCTGGATGAATCATTACTGTATAAAGCTGGCAGACCTAATCTGCCTGGCATCCATTTTATGAGCAGGCCCCTTCTCCCTCTAATGTACCTCCCCTCCAGTTTCTACCCAGGAGACAATCTTTGCATAGGCAGAAAATCAATTATATGTCAAACCACATAGTTATTAATGCCCCGAAGCTTCAATAAGTAACTGAAAGCAAACAAAAGGATTAAAACACGGAAGGTACTAATAAAAACCCCCAAAGGCTGGATGCAAATCAAATAATTCACTTTGGCTTCCTGCCTTGCATTGTAATCCAGCCTCTGCCCACTGCCCTGTCGGTTAGTCTTGTTTCCATCTGCTTTGCAACTGCTCAATGTGGGGTGATGGAAAATTATGGAGCCACGTTTCTGGTTCTGCTGGTTCCACTCTGGGTCTCGCTTGGAAAAAACAGGCCAGCAACTCTAAACAGTTGCTTAGAGAAGAACACATCTGATCGCTTTAAAAGGATTGCTCTCATTTTTTCAGATGTGCAAGCAACCTCTTGTGCAGGGTGTGTAGTCAACTGCCTTCAGTAACTGGTCTGACCCTTTTCAAGCCATCACACTACCGATAGCCCAACATTGGACTGTCAGCAGAATCAGAAGTCCCGGTCCCTCTGCATCGCAAAGCAGCTGCCTCTCCTGGTTACAGTCAAAATCTCTAGCGCAGCAGCTAGGGAGAACTTGGCATTCCTGCTGGCACTGAAGTTAAGACTCTTTAGGAGGTTCTCCTGCCTGCTCTAACTTAGCTTCTCTGAATGTCTGTGGAGATTCTCGGTCATCCAGGTCACGGTTGTCCCAAAGGTGCTTTTTCAAAAGGCAACTGACTTTGTTTTTTCTTGAAGACATTTCACTTCTCATCCAAGAAGCTTCTACAGTTCCAGGTTGGATCTCTCTTTAATTAGCTTCCATTCAATTCCCAGAGCAATTTTTGTCACAAACATGGTTTGTGGAATAAGCCACTACATTACACAACTTGCGATAAACGGGGGGTGGGGGGTGGGGGGGGCGCACACTTTTTTTAATGTATCTTTAAAACCATCTACCTACGGAGTGAGAAAGTGCTTGAAGAGCATAGTCAGTTGCCCATCCAAGATGAGCCCGGATTCCTCTACTCTTATTTATGGAAATCAGCAGAGAAAAAGGGACCAATTGGTGCCCACCACATCTAGATCAGAAATATAATCCTGCCAGAGAGGTTTGCAGCTTCCGCTTTTCCCTTCAAACTCAAAAGCTGTTGATAAGTTGGCTACATCAGCTCAGCCTTCAGTGCCTCTCCGTACTGGGGGTCAGATTGTGGCCCATCCTGCACACTCCATGGCTGCTACTCCACAGTGGGTTTCTCCTAAAGCAGGAAGTACTTGAGCATCTCCTGCTTTAAAGCACAAAGCATCGTTTAAAACAGGGGTCCCCAACCCCCAGTACTGGGCCTTGGACTGTTTGGAACTGGGCTAGGCAAATGGCAGGTGAGTGCGCGTGCCTGCTGCTCACCTGGAACCATTTCCACACCCGATCTGCAAAGCTAGAAAGGTTGGGGACCACTGCCTTAAAAAGAAGCTTAGAGACGGCCTCTGCTCCCAACGGTACTGCTTGCAGGTAGAGCTTCTGCTCAGACCACTCAGCTACACTCGGGACCCCCAAGCAGAATTGCTGTGTTCCCTGTCCCCAAATACACTGTACAGGTAGTCCTTGACTTAAGGCCACAACTAAGGCCAGCATTTATGTTGTTAAGTGAGACTTTTGTTAAGTGAGTTTTGCCCCATTTTATGACCTTTCTTTTTCTTGCCACATTTGTTAAGTGGATCACTGCAGTTGTTAAATCACATGGTTGTTAAGTGACTTTGGCCTCCCCATTGATTTTGCTTGTCAGAAGGCTGCAAAAAGGGATCACGTGACCTTGGGACACAGCAACGGTCATAACTATGAACCAGTTGCTAAGCCTCTGAATTCTGATCACACGATTAAGGTGATGCTGCAAAGGTCGCAACTGTGAAAAATGGTCATAAGTCACCTGTGCCTTTGTAACTTTGAACGGTCACTAAAGGAACAGTTGTAAGTCTAGACTACGGCTGACAGAACAGCCGGGCGCTGCCATGCTGAACTGCAAACTATCCTAAACTTGAACGTTGCGCTTCTGCAACTTTCTGTCCCTTCCTCACCCGGGATTCCGCTTGAATCGCCCCAGTAAGATCGGAGGTGGGGAAAGCGGGGGGGGGGGACGCTCCCTCCCCACCAAACCTCCCCCCCTTTTCTTGCAGATTGATTGATGGGTCGCTTTCCCTTAAAGGCGCTTTGCAACTTTTCAACGCGCAACCAACGTGCGGCGGAAAGCGAGCCCAGCGCAGCCCTCCGTTCCGGCGGTTGGTTAAATGCAGACAGGGCAGCTGGCGAAAGAAGGTCGCCGACGCAAAGCAGACCCCCTCGGCCGCTCCCCGGCCTCCCGGGGGCCATCCCGGCGCCAGTCCGTGTGCCAAGCAACGGCCGGTCCGAGGCAGGCGAGCCGGGCTCTACGGCCGTGCCCTGCCCTGCCCGCCACCCTCGGGCACCGCCTCGGGCTCCCCGCGCCCCGCTTGCTCGGCCCCGGCCCGCGGGAAGACCCCAACGCCTCGGTCCCCGGCAGGAGCCCCCCACCCCGTCGAGGGAAGCGCGGCGCCCGATCCGGCCCCGGCCACTTGGCCTCGCCCGCCCTCCCGCCTACCTGCTCGTCCTCGCCCTGGAAGCCGCTCGGCCCGGCTCCGCTTCCTTTTTAGGGACCTCGAGGCCCGCCCTGAAGGGCGGCCACGGGCGAAGGCCTGCCCTCGCGGCGGGGGCGCCCAGCGGCTGCCGGGAATTCCGCGGGTCGGGTTGCAACGCGGTCGGGAAAGCAGCCGGGGCGCGGAGAGGGAGGAGCGCCTCGGGAGCACCAGGTCCGGCCTGGGCGCCTCCCGGCCAAGCCCCCGAGGACAGCGGGCTCTCTCTCTCTCGTTCTCTCCGTCTATCTGCTTATAGGTGGCCGGCTGTCTCTCTCTAACAACCTTTCTGTCTTTATTTCTCTGTCTGTCTTTTGGTGTTTTTGCAGGTGTAGTCCCTGATCCCTTTGCGTAGTGCGAGCATGTACGGTAAGTTGTCTGCATCTCTTTTCCCTCCTCCCGGTGGACTTGACAGCCTAGATTAGGGCTTCTCAACGTCTGCCACTTTGACCCCTGTGGATTGCAGTGCCTAGAATTCCCCAGTCAGAGCACCTCCAAGATCTTCTCCAACTTTGTTATTCTACATTCTAGAATTGAAGAAGGATGATCAACTTAACATATCCATAAACACTGAAAAGCAACTGGCTAAGAATACATTGGAAAATATTATTTCTTCTGCTTTTATCCTGCAATGAGTTACTTCTCCAAGAGAAGAAGAGATGTCACAAAATGCCCATGCCAATTGTCATGTCATCCTATATATCCTCTTCGAATACACAGATAGATGTTCTCCACAGTTGCAAGGATTCTGAAGAATGATGTATTTTTGTGATTAATATTTCTATTGCCTGCCTGCCTGCTTGCCACCCTCTGCAACACAAATGGACAATGCCAGATCATTTTAGTGCTGGTGGCTATACTTTGGAGTGCCAGAAGATGGAGTATGATCACATACAAGCTTAAGGAGAAGTTTTACAGTACTTAAATGCTGAAAAAATACACTTGATTGATGCTAATTGTCTTCATCCTTGGGACTCATGCAATCATACAAACAGAATATTTTCCTTGATATTTGTTTGCATTTCTTTGTTACAGGCATAAGGTCTGTGAACCATTTTCTCAATATCTAAATAGTAAATGTTTAGGGAGAGCAGAAATATTTGGAGTAAGGGTAAAACTATTGAAAACAACACAAGAGAGAGCTCTACTTCTGTGTTGGGTCTAGGTAGGACAACTTGCTATGGCCGACTCACCCTGCTGACTTGCCAACTGGAACTGAGCTGCAAAACTTCAGATGGACCGAAGATGGTAGCAGATAATTTGTTTGTTCTTTCATTCTCTCATTCATCCATTCATTCAATTTAGGGGTTGTCCAACTTCAAAAACTCTGGGTAGCCTGAAACATTAAAAGCAATAAAAAAATAAATAAAATAAAATAAAATAAAAATCAATAATGGGAACCATGTCAGCATGGAGCTACTTAATTGGATAAAAAGTTACAGGGACCCATCCGAAGGACTGGGAGAACAGCCAAGTCTTTGATGCCTTTTTGAAGAGCATGAGGGAGGGGAACCATATGGATCTCTATGGGAGATGGAGGTTTGCTTTCTAGATCCCCAAAATGACAGTTTAATCAAAAGGAACTGGAGTAGACCCATTCTGCTGGATTTACAAAAGAGGCAGAAATGATCTGGGATAGCCAGTCCCTATGGGAGAGCTGATTGAGCAATTCTGGCAGCTGAAGTCCACAACTTTTAAAGTTGCCTAGGTTGGACAACCCTGGTTCAGAGGCACCTAGCACCATGGATTTCACCCGAAAATCAACTGGCATCTCTGGGGGGGGGGGGATTGCTTCTACTTGCAGGACAACATCCTCATTCACAATTAGCCCTGCATGTGAGCAGAATCCTTAGATACTGACCTGGCCCCAAAGCTGCCAGGGTGCTTGATCCCAAGAGGGAACTCGGAGAGGGAAGGGCTGGTGGTCTGACCCTGGCTTGCAAAATGTCGCTTCCTCCTTCTGGGTCCCAGCTTCCTGATCTCTTGCTCTCCAAACCTCAGACCCCTGCGCACCTCACAGAATATGGCCCAAGATGGGCAGAGAGCCATTGGTTGTGTTTGTGCGACTTCCTCTGGATGGAACAATGCACCAAACCATTGACTAAGCCCTGAATTTACACAAGAGTGAGACACAAACAAGCTGACAGGCTTTTAACCAATTGTTCTGCTACTGTAGTATAATGGTGAACATTTTGGATCAGGACTAAGGGATCCCCAAGTTCTGGTCTCTAGAACCTGTGGAACTTCTGGCCTTCAGAAGTTGTGGGTGCTCCATCACTGGAGGTTTTAAGAAGAGATTGGACAGCCATTTCTCTAGAATGGTATAGGGCAGCGGTTCTCAACCTATGGGTCGCGACCCCATTTGGGGTCGATCACCCATTTTTCGGGGGTCGCCAAAGGCGGCGATCCGCCATTTTTCGCGGTGCCGTGCACGCGCGCCGCGCATGGGGGCGGCACCACGCACGCACGCCGCGCATGGGGGGCGCCGTGCATGTGCGCCGCGCGTGGGGGGGCCGTCGTGCATGGGGGCGGTGCCGCGCATGCGTGCCGCGCGTGGGGGCCCCGCCCCCACGCGCGCGGCCCAGCGCATGCGCAGAACGTTTGTGTGATGGGGGTTGCCGTCACACAAACGTTGAGAAGCACTGGTATAGGGTCTCCTGCTTGATCAGGGGGGTTGGGCTAGAAGACCTCTAAGGTCCCTTCCAACTGAGCAATTCTGTAATTCTGATCCTAGAAACTCTCTCTCTCTCTCTCTCTCTCTCCCCCCTCCCTCTCATAGGGTTGCTGTACCCCAAAGGCAACCTTTAAATTCAAATAAATGAATAGACAACTTGTTAACAACTTGTAAAGCACAATTAGCTGGGTTCATGCAATTCTAACCCCAAACTAAACCAAACATGGATACAGTCAGTACACTGGGTTAAAATATCATTAGCTAGCTTCTGCCTCAGTGTGTCATACAGAATCAACCTGCTGGGTTAATGTTGGGTTGTTGTGCAAGCATAAATTCCGCCAGCATTTGCTGGGTTAATGTTGGGTTGTTGTGCAAGCATAAATTCTGCCAGCATTTGCAGGAGCCGTTCATCCTTCACAGAAAAGTGACTGTTGTTCCACTTTGGTGTGATGTGAGTCTGAGAACCTGGTTTCTATTAACAAGCTTTTTCTTATCTTCAGATAATCTTCAGCCTGTTTATCTCTTCAGTTTAGGGATGTTAAAAGCTATTCCTAAATTTCTGTCTGAAATAATCTGAAGATTTATCTTTTCAGTTTAGGAATGTTAAAACCTAGCTAATCAATCCATATAACTATTCTACATTCCAATCCATAAAACATTATTTTAAGAGAGAAAATACATCAAATTAAAATACAAAATAACAATTAGTTAATAAATTACAAAGCCTATATCATTTGCCCCTCAGAGGAGACCAGTAAGCCTAGATAAATATAAGCCAGGAATCCATGATTGGCCTCTGAATTTCCCAGAAGGCCTCTGGGTGGTATTATTAGTTGAAAACTCCACCTTCTCTTCTTCCTTGCACGGCTACTCCTATCTAGGATCCTCTGCGGGTCCATGCTGGCAGGAGAGGATTATGGGAACTGAAGTCCAAAACGCTTGGTAAGCGCTCAGTGGGAGAATCTGAAGAAGGGTTGGGATAAGCTTGCATGAAACTGCCTTTCTTAGAATTAGCCGTATATGGTGGTTACTAAATGGCTAGGAAAGGGGGCTAGCAATTCCCCGTCGGGAACTAGAAAGGCATCAATTTATCCTTCACCGGGCTCAAACGATCAGGGGAACCGGGAGTCCACATTCAAGCTTCGGCTCTCCGAACGCGGCCTGAAATCTCAACCTAAGCACCTTGTGGACTACACGTCCCCTAATCCCCTCCTCCGGGCGCCGACGGGCCGCGTTGTCAAGCGCCCCGTTTCTACCTGGGATTTGTAGTCTCCTGGCCGGCCGAGGTGGCCGGACCTCAACCGCGGAGGGAAACTACTCTTCCCAGAATGCAAAGCGGAAGAACGACTGGTGTGATTTGGAAAAGAAGGTGGACGGAGCGGGGGGGGGAGAAAAGTAAAACGAGCCCCTTCGCGAAGCTCCTCCCCCTCCCCGCTTCGGGTTTTCAGGGCGCCGGGCGGGCCTGCGGGGGGAGGGGGGCTAAGCGGGGAGCGCGCAGCCGGGCGGGAGGGCGGGCGAACGTCTCCCTCCTCCTCCTCCCCCTCCCCCTCCCGGCTGGCTCGGGGGAAGCGGCCCTCCCTGCGACAGTTCATTTCCTGGCCGGACGGGCGGCGAGTGGAGCGGGAGGCGGGCGGCGGCGGCGGCTGCTCGGCATGGTCTTCCCGCTGCCGGCCCCCGGCCGCCTCCAAGCCCGGCGGCCCTCGCTCCTCGGCCGCCGTCGCCTCTTCCTCCTCTTCCGCCTCCGGCCACTACCGTGTAGCGATGCTGCAGGGCCGGCTCGGCGCCCGCTGCGGAAACCGCGATCGTAACGCTGTAGCCCGGCCAGGTAGCTGCGCCCGCGGGAGGCCGGAGGAGGGAGGAGGGAGGCCGCGGCCTCTCGGGCAGTTGCCGGGGGAGGGAGGGGGGCTTTCCGCGCCCCCTCCTCCTTCTTTTGGGGGGGCTGAGAAGGCGCCCCGGGGCCTCCTCGCTCTCCCCGCTTCTCGCTCCCATCGGTGCCCGGCTCCGGGGTGCTCAAGTTGGGCCCTGCGAGCGCGGCGGCCGCTTCCGGCCCTTGCGAGGATCCCCGCCTAACATTGACACCTGGAGCTCCGGGGACCGGCCGGCCTATAACCTGGCTCTTCCTCCCCCCCCCCGCAGGTCTGAGTTCGAATCGCAGCCGGGGTCTGCCTTCCTGGAGGGGGAGACCGGAACCCCCCTCGGCTGCCCTTTGAGGAGGAGGGGGCAGCGGAAGACCCCGCGTCCGCGGAACCCTTAATTTCGCCTCCTTCGCCGGGCAGACCTTCTCTCCCTCGGCATCTGGGGCGGACGGAGTGCCCCCCCAGCTGAAGAAGCAGGAGCCAAGGTGGGGGGGCACTTTGGGGACCATGAAGAAATTCTTCGACTCTCGTCGGGAGCAGGGAGGATCCGGAGCCGGTTCGGGGACCATTGGAGGCAGCGGTAGCAGCAGCACCGGGCCTGGGAGTGGATACGTTGGCCGGGTCTTCAACGTGGGAAGGCATCAGGTGACGGTGGAGGAGGTAGTGGCGGAAGGTAAGCCGAGGCCCGTGTCTTACTCCTCTGTCTAAGCGGTTTAGCTAATCCAATCTGGGGAAACAGGCTTAAATTTAATTTCGGCATTGATCTCCCACAATCCCAGTGTCGTGTTTTTGCGGGAGAGCTCCTGCTCCTGAGAGCGGAAATCACCATTGTTTATTAAAAAAAATATAGTGCTGAGGGTGAAGAGTGATGAATGGCCTAGGCAGCAGGGGTCTCCAACCTAGGCAACTTTAAGACTTGTGGACTTCTACTCCCAGGATTCCTCTGTCAGCTGTCTGAGGAATCCTGGAAGTTGAAGTCCACAAGTCTTAAAGTTGCCTAGGTTGGAGACCCCCCCCCCCGGGAATAAGGGGTCAGCCCAGTCTTGAGTTTCCAATCCACAGGCAGTCCTGAAATAGTCCCTCTGAGAACGTGCCGCCAACCGCCCTGGCATTTCCTTCACCCGCCTAATAACTTACGAACCCACTCCCCTTAAGGGTGTTACGTAATGTGCTCAGCTTCACTGATGCAAATGCGTTTCTTCTCTTTCTGGTGCTGCCGCCACTGTAAATAAAGAGATAATTAAATGCATTTAGAATTTCCTTTCTGTATTAAGAGTGCCTGCTGCGTCACAAGGTGGCCTGTTTGTCACCAGGGGCTCTGGGCTCCAAAAGCTGTGGTTCTCTTTTAACCATGGCCAGGGCTCCCTAAAGATTGCACACTTACCATAGGCTATGCAGCCCCCCTCCCCGGCTTACGTTTGAGCTAAAATGCACTTTTCAGTTACTTTTTAAAAGCTTGAGAGCAAATTCCAACACGAC